TCGCTCACCCAAGGTGCGTCAAATGCACCGGTGACCACGGCACAACCGAGTGCACGAGGCCGAAAGATTGCGCAGATCCACCGGACCGCGTAAACTGTAACGCCACCGGCCACCCGGCTAGCTACAGAGGCTGCGCTAAGGCCCCGAAAACTCCCCCGCGAGGAAATCTCCCGCGAAATCGACGTTGCCCAAACCCGCGCCCGTTAGATTCATTCCCGCGCCCGTACCCGTCGTAAACGCCTGGGCGAAACCCCAGGTGGCCGCGCAGGTAACCGCGCCGGTAATCCCGGTCGCCTCACGACCGATCGCGCAACAGCTGCCCGCCTCTCAAACGGCGCCGCGGCCGCAGTTGCAGCCAATTCCGTCAGTTTTCGCGGAAAACAAGGACGACCCATTCGCGCAAATAGCTAACATCTGCAGCTTATTAGATAGAATCAATAGGCAGGAACTCGCCGTATTGTCCGCTAAAATAGCGGCCGCCACATCTGGCCACGAGCGTCTTAGGGCAATTAGCCAACACAAAACGCTTGTGGAAGCCCTTTGGGCTTTTACGAGCCAACCGTAAAAAAAAAACAATAGTCCGCGCAATAAAACCGCGCTCCGCCGCGTCGTTAATTAATTAGACCAATAAAAACACCTTAATGGCAAGTACAACCGCAGGTAGAACAAAACCTCGGGCTCTGGTTGTTTCGTATTTCAACGCAAATGGCATAAAGGGTCAAAGGGATGAAATCGCGGAATTCCTTCGCGATTATAACGTAGATATTTTCCTAGTGCAAGAGACATTCTTGAAACCTAGTGTACGCGATCCCAGAATCGCAAATTACAATATTGTCCGCCACGACCGGTTAGCAAACCGTCTGGGAGGCACACTTATTTATTATAAACGGTCCTTGCACTGTTGCCCGCTCGACATTCCAGAGCTAAGTCAAATAGAGGCATCCGCGTGTAGGTTAGCGCTCACCGGCCACAGGCCGCTTGTACTAGTCTCAGCCTACCTCTCGGGGAATAGAACCCTCCTTCAAAGCGACCTAGATACGCTTCTTAACTTAGGCCCTTCCGTGATAATTGCAGGAGATCTAAACTGCAAACACGGCTCATGGGACATCAACAGCATCCCAAACAACAACGGAAAGCATCTCTTTAGCTTATCCGATAACCTAAATTTCAGTATAGTCGCTCCCGCGACTCCCAATAGGTATCCTACGGTGGACAACTACCAGCACGCGTCACCGAGTGTCCTAGACATAATGTTATTCAGGGAGGTCTCGCTCGACATCGAGTCGATAGAGAGAATCCATGAACTAGACTCAGACCACAGGCCCGTCCTGTGTAAACTGGGCCAGAACGCCGGCGCGGTCCCTCCGACCAAATCCGTAGTGGACTGGCATCGTCTTGAGGTCAAACTCAAGGCCTTGGACCCCCAGGACTTAGTAGACTTACCCGAGACGATAGCTACTTTCGATGACGCAAATCGAGCGATAGCGAGTCTCCGCGAAACTATTACTTCCGCAGTCGCAGACTCGGAACGGACGGTGAAACTGTCGGGCGACCGACGGTTTAACTTTCCGCCCGACCTGCGACTGCTAATTAGACAGAAAAAAAAATGCAGCCAAACGCGCCTTCGACCGATACCGATCGGAATCGAACCGAACCCTACTTCGACGCCTTCAGCTAGAAGTCAAAGATCGTGTATCGGAACATCGACACACAACGTGGGACACTCTCCTAGAGGACATCGAGCCATCGCACACCGCCTACTGGCGCTTGGCCCGCAGTCTGAAAGCAGACCCCCGCGAATCTCTACCGCCGTTAGTTAGACCTAATAGCGCTTCAGTAGCCCTAGATAACTCCGAAAAAGCCGAATGCCTTGCGGACAACCTAGAGCAGCAATGTACGCCATCGCGCGAACACACCGATTCGGCCCACCTAACGGAGGTGGACCGCGTAATCGAGACTAGGGCTGCGCTTCCACCGGAAGGCGAACCTTTAAATTCAGTGACCCCCGAAGAGGTCCAAGATATTATTAAAAATTTAAAACCAAAATCCGCTCCGGGCCCAGATAATATAAGTAACAAGATTCTCAAAGCTCTTCCTGGGCCGCTTATCTGTTTACTGGCGACAATTTTCAATACCCTTCTCTCCAGTTGCTCCTTTCCGGACGACTGGAAGCAAGCCACGGTTATCGGCATTCGCAAGCCGGATAAACCAGCCAATAAGCCCTCCAGCTATCGTCCCATCAGCCTCCTCAGTTGTCTGGGGAAGCATTACGAGCGGCTATTGTTAAACAGGTTCAAAGAGCACGTATTTTCCAACGACCTACTGCCGACGGATCAATTCGGCTTTCGAGCTAGACACTCTTGTCCCGATCAGTTATACCGCCTAACGGAGCACATCCTAAAAGGCCTCAACCACCCCAAACACATCAGTACAGGGGCTCTCTTCTTCGATGTCGCAAAAGCATTCGACAAAGTCTGGCACAACGGCTTGCTTTACAAGCTGTACACACTCAAAGTGCCAGATAGGCTCGTACACACCATCCGAGCCTTCTTTGTGAACCGCTCTTTTCGATATCGAGTCGAGGGCACCCTCTCCACAAGCCATCGCCTCACGGCCGGCGTACCACAAGGCTCCTGCCTCTCACCCTTGCTATTTACGCTCTACACGAGCGACATACCTAGAGACCCCCACGTCAATCTCGCTTTTCGCGGATGACACGGCGCTCTTTTACTCAGATCGCAACCTCAGTCAATTAACAACTCGACTCCAAAGCGCCGCCGACCGCCTCGGCGATTGGTTCCGCAAATGGAGAATCGATATTAATCCAGAAAAAAGTGTGACGATTCACTTTACTCGTAGCACCCCCAACCCCCATCCGCCAGACCGTTACAAAGGTCCTCGCCAGTACAGAAAGTTGGGGCAAATATCACTATATGGCCAAACTCTCCCCTGGGAGAAAACGGTCGAATATTTAGGAGTGACTTTCGACTCGCGTATGACTTTCACTACGCACATCAATCAAGTCCGAAATAAAGCCGCGTTCGTCTCCGGCCGGCTACACAATTTAACGAATAAGCAAAGTAAAATGCCCTTAAGGCACAAACTACTGTTATATAAAGCTTGCGTAAGGCCAATCATGTCCTACGCTTGCATGATCTTCGCACATATAAATCCTACGCGCATTAACAAATTGCAAGTAGTTCAAAGTAAGTTTATCCGCCGCGCAACCGGTGCGCAATGGTATCAGCGCAACGCCGACCTGCACAGCGATTGCAGAAATATATATAAAATAGAAATGTCCTTTTATCCCTGTTTTCAGGGAATGAAAAATATCATTTGAATATAACGGTAAATTTCGCCAATAAAAAATGTTATAATAGTCGGTCGCTAATCGGGCGGCCCCGAAACAGAAGGCCGTGGTTCGTGACTCGTGTCACGATCTTTTTTATACTTTTTTTTTATTCCAGATAAAAATAAAAAATAAAGAAAGGAATGTCTTTATTTTTTATTTTTCGTCCATCTAGATGATTTTGTCTTTTTTTTAAGTTCTTTCTCTTGTGAAAAAAGCTCGGGCCTTCAGGTACTTAATTAACTTAATATGACATAAAAAAGCGAGCTGTGGAGTAACAATGACTTTACTGCTTACATTTGCTTGTCTAATCTATCAATTTGTTATTCCATATCCAGAGTGCATTCCTCTTTCTCGAATCTCGTCCCCAAATTTCTTCGTCCCGAAATCTTCGAAAGATACCCTGTGAACTTACATGACAGGGTTATGTGGGGTTCTTACCCACTAAAACCCTCTTGGTGGCCAACCTTCCGTACATTTGGAGGGACTCCGGGATCTCTTACGGAACGCACCGGTGTCCCAAGATACGACGCCTGAGCACGCCTCGGAGAAGGATAAACCTTCTTCGGTTCCCTCTCCCTCTTGCAGCAGTACGATACCACTTCCTGCTGCTGCCCATCCGTGTCCCCTTTTAGTCGCCTTTTACGACAGGCAGGGTATACTATGAGCCCGGGACTACAGGGCTATATTCCATACTTGCATGTGATATGAGATCTCTTCCGTCAAATTGATTACAAGATACATTACATTAGGTACCATCTTACTGCTCCGCCCACCTTATTAAGTCAAGTATGGTTCTGGGCGCTTAGTCGAACGCACCCTTAAAAATATCGATTTTCTTGACCGAATACCAAAATCCTTAAATGTAGGAAAAGAAAATAAAAAAAATGTGTAACATTATGCACATTAGCAGTATTTACTACGATTTTATCAATATAAAACATCTTTTCATATTATTAGGCAATTTTTGTAATTTGCTTCATATTTTAATTACAATTTTTTACAGCCCACATATCAATTTTTACAAATATTAAAATCGTTATTTGTATTTATCAAATAAAATTTAATCTTGAATCAGCTCTAGAAAGACTATATTTCGTACTATTTTTTCATTTGCAACCCAGCTACACGTAATAACATCGATTTCACAATCCATCCACCAAACCACATGCTTCAATTCATTCATTGCATGCATCGCGAGTGGCGACTCGCGGAAGTTTTTATACTTGTGAAATTGGTGTTAAATATTTATTATTTGTCCCTTCGGCAATATTTCTTACAGATATAACGAGGTCATTTGATTTCAAATTAAAGATAGTAGTTATCTTGTTTTAAAATTTATCTGGTCAACTCCTACCAAGATATTTGGATTTATTTAAACTTTTTAAGAAAGTTTTCGTAAGTTTTTTTTGCGTATCCCTTACTAATGAAAAAATATTGTGTAACAGGTATTTCGTCTTTTTTTATATTAAGAACAGGTTTAGCCGGTAAAAAAGTTTTCGTTTTTTGTTTTTGAATGAATTCCTTGCTGTCGATTTTTATAAAATTAGAAAATCTAAAAAGGCGATGAATTAAATTACGGTAAATTAAATAGTTAATTCAGCTTAATTTTTAAAAAAAATATTTTCAGGTATAACTAATGTTTTCCAACATGAAAATTGATAAAAAGTTGCTTCCTATAAAAGGACACTACTTTCTTTTTAATGCTGGTGAGTACACATAATAATTTTGAGTTTTTAATTAATTTTATCACCCTCTTTAAAACATAAGTAGAGTTTCATAATATGTTTTCTTAAAAGTTCATGTTACATTGTTAATAAAAGTAATGTGAATGCTTGTTATTAGAGGTCTTTATTAACTTTTTTTAGTGAAAAACATGAACTAACTACTTAATAGTTTGTGTATAAGAAAGCCATAATGAGTTTGATAGAGAGAGCTTCACAAGACATACATTTCATTTATTCCATGAAATTCCAGATGTAGAAGATTCATAGCATTAACTCGTCAGTCTATATGAAGTGTACACATGTACACTTCTTCACTCAATTTTATTTCAAGATCTTATTGTAAGGGTATCAAATAAGTTTTTTTGATATGTTGGTTAGCAAGGAATAGCAATATTGTTGTACTTTATAAATATAGATTTTTAATAAATTAAATTTGAATAAATTATACATATAATTTATTGTGAATAAGTGTTCTTGGATGATGCTAGTTCCGAAAACTATATTTATAATATTTGACCTAACTGAGTACTTTAATTGCACAACAAAAGTGAATTTGTTCGTACAAAAGTATTTCATCATATTTATGCAATTCTATTTTTTCAGGAACGGCTCCCCTGGTGCCATATTTATCAACGTATGCAAGACAGTTGGGTTTCACGTCAGCCACAGTTGGTCTTATATACACAGTACTGCCCATCTTTGGTTTAATAGCAAAGCCGCTGTTTGGAGTAATTGCTGACAAGTATGATTAATTTAATAAAGTAACAGTAAAAGGCCTCCTCCATACAGGGGGTATTAGGTCATAGTCCACAAGATGAAGTCACTGCAGATTGGCAGGCTTAACAATGCTTTGAATTATTTTTTATTATATTTGGAAAAGATGCAAGTTTCCTCCTGTGTATTTTTCTTCACTGATGAACATGTGATAAATCAGCAGTAAAAATTGCAATTAACAATTTCAATGGCGGCAGCACTGAGATTTGAACTAGGTAGCTTGAATATATTAAATAAAAAGCAACAGCCTTATTAATTGTCTAAAATGTAATTCTTTTAATGTGCCATGGCAAATATTTACAGACACTACTAATATTATTTCAATTGTACTTAAAAATCATTTTGTCTCTCGGTAGGTGTCAAGGGTTTCAATGTGTATAGTCAGGGTATTTGAGGACATGAACTTTTTTAGCTTCTATAAACCGTGTATGTATCACATTGAAAAAATGATTTATTATTTCGATATTAATGTCTAAGACAATCCAAGTCGCCTAGTCACTTTCTCGGATGTCGTTTATAACGCATAATAGTTAAATAAGCCTAATGTAGCATTGACCCTATTATTTTAAGACGTTTAAATATATACAATCGTTATAAATCGTTATGGAGCTGATACCAACACGACAAGGAAAACAGCAAAAGTCTTGTTACTTCTTAAATGCTAATTACATTTAAATTTAATCGGCCGCGTGAATAAACGTCGGTACCTATCACTTGTGCGAGTGCCGCGGAACGTGATTCAAGAATTTTTAAAAATAAACAAAACACGAATCTCATTCCGAGTCTTAAGGCCCATTTACACGGTGCCATTTTCTTGTACATACAAGAGCAATAATTGAATGCAATAAGTTGCACGCAATAATTGACCATCAAGAATTGTAAGCAACAGTTTACACGCAGATATAGTAAAAAAAAATTGAATGCGATTATTGAATGCAAGTTTTGACAAGAAATAATTGCAAATGTCTTTTGTTTACACCAATGCAATTATGTTTAGGCGATTATTGCTTTCAAGTTTTGACTTGTCTAAACACATGCTTGTATGTGCGTCTACAATTTATTGGCGTGTTGCTTCAAGTATTGCACGTATTTACGTTGACAAATTTTTCATGCAAGTGTTGAACGTTTTACAAAGGGCTGTTTTTTTTTAAAAAATGGCTCAATAATAAGTGTTCAAGTTAGATTATGCCGATTAAATATACCTATTTCATTGAGATTTATTTATTATGATCCATATATTATTATTCATATTTTTATCCAACTTTTTTTTACGACCTTTTCTCAATATTTCTATCCTCAAAAGAACAGCAACGATTAAATACCCTCACTCATTGCACTAATTTTTGCAAAAGAAGAGAGAATGCAATTGAATACAAGAATTGCTTAAGAAATTAAAGGCCCATTTACACGATGCCATTTCCTTGTACATACAAGAGCAATAATTGAATGCAATAAATTGCGCGCAATAATTGTTTAGAACATTTGTTGTTTAGACCATGCTCCAACTCATTTATTGCTTCAATTTAATTGTATACAACAGGCAAGAAACTGGCACCATGTAAATGGGCCTTTACTCACGATTTGTTTTTGTTACATCAACAAAACGACTATGGCGATATTTCTGTAAATTTCCAAGAAGAGGATCAGTTAGGGGTCCCAATTTTTTTTATAGAAATGAGACATGTTTTATAAACAGGACCTTGTTCTTGTTAATTTCTTTATGATTTTTGTTCAAATAATATGGAAGTTGAACTGTCTTCACAAATCACAAATATTTTATGACATTTATGGTGCTACTCACGCTGGTTTTATATTCGTTTAACTTTTATTTTAACTTGATATTATAAGTTTTACTTTAATAAAATTTTATTTATTTTGACAATAATATTTCATCTCTACGATTACTAAGTTTTTTATGTTTGTTTAAAATAATATAAATATATTTTAGACCCAGTGTGGTTAAATAAATAAGTTATTTACTACAAACAACCAAGGTCAAAACAGAAACACCGACGAAATTCATCAAGCAGCAATACACCTAGGGTTGCCAACCACACTTAATAATAACTTATCCTACTTTATTTTTGGTAACTATACTTTATACTTTCAAAAAAACATAAAGTATGTGAATATACTCAGTTTTCAATCTTTACTGTGACGCATACAATAAAACACTTACCATATATATATCTATATGGATAAATACCGAACTTTTATCGATAATTTTCAAGTTAAAACAGTAAACTAATTTAACAGTAACACTTAACTTAGAAGCTTTTGCTGTAACTAATATTTTTAACAAAAACATTTTTTTTTATATATATATATATATATATATAAAAATTAATCCCTATTTCCCTTGGTCACGCCATCACTCGTGAACGGCTGGACCGATTTCACTTTTTTTTGTTGTTTGTTATTATCAGTAGAAGGTTCTAATGTAAGAAAAAAATAAAAAAATTGCCTATAAAAGTCTAAAAACAACACTTTTCTATATTCCCTTACAAAAGATTCGTAATAATACTTAAAACTCTACTTGAACTTTAATACCATACCATACTTAAAGTTTCAGTGTTAGTGGAGGGGTTCCAGGAAGGCAAACAAGTGAGTGACTGTGGTAAAATGTCACTTAAAATGTAAACGTCTCTTTGCTGTACATCACTACATAGTATAAAACAAAGTCGTCCCTGTCTGTCTGTCCCTATGTATGCATAGATCTTTAAAACTACACAACGGATCTTAATGCGGGTTTTTTTTACTAGGTAGAGTGATTCAAAAGGAAAGTTCATATTATAATACATTGCACCCGCGCGAAGCCGGTAAGGGTCGCTAGTTAAAAATAATAAAAAAAACAGAAACTCAGGACACACAATGTGTATTACCATTTTTATATTTGGTAAGTATATTTATGTAAAACTCGGCGATGCAATATTTTTCTGAAGTTAATATTAGTGATCGTCAAGCGTAAATTACGTTATTTACGGTCTTCATATCTTAATCTCTGTTATGTGCTTATCGACCGATGTCTCAATCGTAACGTTATAATAAATTATAACTTCTCAACGCTTTTTGAATGAGCCGCCTGAAATATACGTAAGAATCATAAATTTATTTTAAATAATCATAAACTTATTATTACGTAAATCATAAAGTTGGTCTGGTACACAGCTTTATTGCTAATTAGAGGATCACTACGCACCACAATCATAATGCCTTCCGATACTTACGGGGTTACTTATTGGGTGTGACCTTAGGGGTGACCTTATTCGATCAGAGGTCAGTGCAATGCTAGACGAAATCCACATAAAACTCTATAGATTAGCGAAGGTCTGGTCGTCAAGAGCTCTTATGCTATTATGATATACACAACTCAATTTCCTGTCTACTGTCCGGACGAAACGGCAGAATCTGCTGCTACTATAACCGTGCATTAAACATTTTTACGTGACGTTGCAGGTTCAAACTACAGAAGCCGATATTCATACTGTTCCAAATCGTGACCATAGTCAGTTTCTCGGCGATTTACGTCATACCGGGGGAGAACACCGAAGATCCCTCGGTGCAACTCGAGTGCGGAGATGGCGCTACCTTCCTACGCAGCTGCTACCAGGATCCGAGCTCGGTCAATCAGTGCACTAAGGGGGAGTTGGAGGCACTCGTGGGGACGTCGCGATGTAACGTAAGAGATTAGTTCGGTAGCGATGGCGGGAGTGGATCAGCTCGACGGCTGTTGATTGGTCACCGCCTCCCTTAGACATACACAACACGTTGGTGTGGTGGTGAATGAAAGCTACATAAATCTAGCTCTGAACTAAAGTTATATGGCTTTCACTCACCATCGGATGGGATAGAAGTAGAGCACTAAGCAGTCACTTTCACGCAAAAAACATACGTGTTGCGTTTTTAATCTTAAACATCATAAGCTCAACATAAACATTAATAACCTGATAAAATACATGCATTAATACTGCAGCCGCTCCTGTATACTATTATCACTGTAGTCAGTGCCGGACATTGATACTGCATAATATAAACTAGAATGGAGATCGTATTTTAAGGCTTTCTTAGCTCTATATCGGTTTAGTATGTTACGACAATAATGATGTGGATTCTTGTGTATCCATATTATTCACAGTTACAGAGACTGCAGTCGCGCTAACATTACAGTTTAAAAATTGTTTTTGAACCGAGATAGAATGAAATTGTAAAGTATAATTTAAACGAGATAAATGATCACGGAGAAAATGTTTATTGCATTTTGGAGCACCGCCTCGCTGAAGCTTCTTGTAAATGAAGATAACTGGTAAATGAAATGATGGTTACTCCAATAAAATACAAATACGAGGTGGATATGCCACATGCGCACCAAAACTGGAACATTCAAATTACGCCAATTGGTGTAATTAGATTGCAATTCCGTATCATACGTTCTATGTCATCTGTCACATTGATTTATATACGTCACTTAATGTAATACAGAACAATTTTTAAACGCCGCGCAATAGGCCCGTGCGCCATTTATATTATGAAAAACTAGCTTTTCGCCCGCGGCTTCACTTGCGTTGAAGCCCTTAAATAAATATGTTTCTTTAATTTTTCAACCCTTTATAAGACTTTTTTCAATTTAAAAAATAGCCCATGTCCTTTCTCAGGCTGCAGACTATCTGTGTACCAGATTTCATTTAGATCGGTTCAGTAGTTTTGGCGTGAAATCGAGTTATTGCAAACGGACAGAGTTATTTTTGCATTTATAATATTATTATTGGTTGCCCCGCAGATGAGCTGCGAAATGGACTCGCCGAAGATGTGGCAGACCGTTTGCGAACACTGGCACATACCGCAGTACTGCTACAGCGAGACCGACAACATCCAATACACTACAGAAATCGACAGCGTCGGCTATAATGACGACAACTGCATAAACTTGTTCACAAACAAAGTGGCCTTGGACGGTACGTGCAGATAGTCTTTATATTTCTGACTGGCCGGAAGATAATGCTATTTATTAAAGCTCGATTCGAGGAAAGAGTGAAAAGAACTGGTGTGTTTAAATAGGGAGTCGTTTGACAAAGTTATGAAGAGTTCAAAGTGAATACTGTAACAAAGTGCACAAGTAAATAGTGAAACCGAATCGGGCCGGTGAACGATAAAGGTTTAGAAGGCTGAGAAAGATTTGCATGGGCTGCATTAAGAATGGATGGATAATGAAAATAGATTTATGTATTTGTATGCATACCGAGTGGCAGCCTCGTATTGCCCATCGTATTTTAGGACGACTCCCCACTAGATGTGGGTCGACGTGCAAGTGTGCAAGAATTCGATGGATGTAGGTGCTCAGAATCTTGTTTCGTGGCAGCCTGTGGAGTAGACCTAGGTTCAGCAGTGGACCCGAAAAGCCTGAAATGTTGAACATGTAGGAATGTTTATGATTGTGAACAAAGACGAAGGGTGCCACTGGGCTTTTGCAGATGCTAGATAGATAATTATGTAGGTTATATCTATGTCCATCGTAGTATTAGGTGTCTCTTTGTGGTTATGAGATTTTCATAACCAATGCAAAGATCCTGGCTGAGGTCTGGCACTTAAGTCATTTCATACAATATTAATAAGACAACTATGACGGAACACGATTGTGTGTCGTCTGGTTATTTTTTGGGGTTCGTAGCAATACCACTTCCTCACGGTTCGCGAACTTCTTATATGAAATTGCTTTACATGCTCAGCATTATAATACTTTTAACTTATATTGTCAGACATCACTTGTTTCGTCCGCCAAAACTAGCTTGTATGTATATAGTGAATAGTATAATAATGGCACCTAAATATTTTAATCGTTTCAAGGCTACGATTACACACCGCGCTGCCACATCGGCCAAGGCTACCTCGACCTGGAGCAGCCTTGCATCATGAACTGCACCGACCCCAAGCTGATGGCCGCCATCCTTGGCGAAAGACCAACAATGACCTGTGTGAACGGAAAGCTGAGCTTCCGCGTCTGCTCGGAGATTGCAAGAGCCCTGCGCAATACCTTCAACGGGCCACATTATGATCAGTGTCAGGTATGTTTATAACACGTAACACTGTGACCAGTGTTCAGTGTGTTATATCTCGAAACATTATCATCATCGTCGTCGGGTATTTATAATACGTGTTACACGTATACGTGTAAATGTTTCCGGAACGAATAAGAAAAAAATAATATTAAAGACATATATAGTATCGGCATTTATAGTACTGGCAAATTCAAGAAAAGATTCGACACGACAGACTTGCTTAGTAGTAGTGTGCTTGACTTACTAACTTTTTAAAGTTCTTTTTAGTATGGAGGTTACAAACGAGCTGGTGGTTCACTTGATATTAAGTAATAACCGCCGCCTAGTGAAATTTGCAACACCCGTAGGGTTGCAGGTGCGTTGCCACCTTTCAATAAAGTGGGCCCCCGCTATCTCACTCATCCGACGAAATGCAGAAGTGTCGTGGTATTTTCCCGGACGGACCTGCTAATTTGTGCAACAGCGAACCGCTGCCTGGCCCTACGGTCAGTGATTCCGAAACGGAAACTATTCCCCTAAATAATTGAAATCTTAACAAATCCACATTGTGTATGTTTTTTTAACCCGGTGTGAAAAACATGTATTGCTTCGTTGATTTTACCTATGGAAAGACCGTTCTTGCTGTGAGATCGTTACACCTGTCCCCAATCAACCAGCAGGGCGCATCTTTCCTATCGAGTCTCGTCCAATATTTCCGATCAAAACCAACCTAATGCTGTTGATTCACCGACCGCGACAAAACTTTGCAGGTGTCCTGCGACCTGGACAAGTCAGCACCTTGGCGCCTAATGGAGATCTGCGAGTCGTGGGGCGCTGACGCTGCCGATACTTGCCACCCGAAGACCAGGTTGGGCGCAGAGTTCCCGAGGAATCTATCCTTCGTCGGTACCATACTCCTCTCTTCCGTTCTAATTGAAACGGAGTGCGCAAACGTCCAGCTGCATAACATCAAAATGCCCGATGGTTAGTCACTGACCCATCGATATCATTGTATTTACAAGTAGCAATGTCCATTCGAATTAAAGATAACAATGAATGACGTTTACTGTGTTAGTGTATTTATGCTTTGCGGCTAAATAAATGCTTATAAAAAAGTCAAGCACAAGACTGTTGATAAAATGAAATAGTTAATGTAAATATTACCATACAAAAGATAAATTTAAACAATCAGAATAAAGAGAAAGTGAGAAAGAGCAAATTAAAAGTCAGGTTGTCATATAAAATAATTATTTATAAATGAAATGATTATTATTACTATAAATATTTAATATTTACTATGTTATAGACTTATGCTCCAAAGAGTTCCAAAATGGCGAATATTTTTCCTTTCCTGTAATTTCATAGACAATGTCTGTTACAAATAAATGCTAACTTTTTTGTGCTTATGCGAATAAATTTTTTTGCTCATAGCTGTTGCTAGTTTACTTTGCCATTTTTTTTTGCATCTATTGTGCGATTTTATTGCGCTGTTGGCGTTAAATGATCATTTAAAAATTCTCTGGCGAATTATAAAATTTTCGTGGTTTCCACAGCATTTAAAGACAGTGTTAGTTATATAATTTGTTTGTATTTTTGTCTATAATTTTTTTGTGTTATTTTCAGGATCCATCCACTATCCGAATTGCTTGGATAAAGCTGCATATGTAGCTGGGATTGAGATCTTTCGTCCCAAATGCCAAATACAGTGCGACAACTCTACCGTAAGCAATTCATCTTTGCCTTCATTAAAATAGGGTAGGGGAAGGGGGCGGGGGGCTGTTGTAACTCGGAAAATATACAATTTGTACCTTTGTACAAATTAAATGGTGAATTGGTTTCAACATTGATCCGGAAATTGAAAACATTAAGAATAAAACACGGGCTTCCAATTCTTAAGGTAACTCAAAAATAATTGCACGGTTTGAGGTATTGTTATATCTGTTTAACAAAACCTTACAAACCTAAACTCTGTCCATATTTAACTGTATATTTTGTCAGCTTTAGTTACTTTAAGTTGGTAATTTAATAAAATTATATCAAAAAAATACTTTCAAGCATAATCTGTACTTTTACCTTCCTGTCATTGCCTAATTGGGATGTCAACTGATTTTTATAAATGTTCAAAAATTTTATTTATCATAAACACTTTTTTAGTTATGATATGTTAAATTAACAATTCCTAATGTATATACTGGCCTGTAAGCAACCTCGTTAATTGTTACTTCTGTACATAATACAAAATCACTTATTTATGACGACTTTAAAAGTTATTTTCCTCCGATATAGAATTAATAAATCAAAAGACGAAAAGCTTAACCTAAAACCCTAAACTAACCAGTAAACACTTTTTTCATTAGTTTTTTTTTTTAAATTGTCGGTAGATAAGTAATAATGATTTTTTATTATATTTTGACTTACCAAGTTAAATGTTTGATGAATTTATTATAAGTTAAGGTATATAAGTTGTTTTAGGTATGTCATTATGCAATTACTCTGAATCTTCTTATTTTAGGCCGACAAAATAGGGCGTTTAATTTTGGATCTGTATATTTTTACAGTATATATTAATCTGATCTGTATATTATTGATTATTATATATTATCGCAACTATGCACCTAAGGTTACATAAGCAATACTAAGTCTGACCACGCTCGAGAAAAACAAAAAAATCGTAAAAACAAAAGTTTGGCTACTTCAACGCCATACATACACAACTTATCTGCATATATCCAGATGAGTCAAATGAGAATGTCACTTCATGATGTTCCTTTGTCGTATTTTTCAGATCAACGTCTGGTTCCAATCAGCCTCAGATAGCCACAACAACACCACACAGTACACAAGGCAGTTCTGGTTCTTTTTTCTCCTGATGATAATCAGTTGGATCGGTCAAGCGGTCGTTGTGACGTTTGCGGACGCTATCTGTTTCAATCTGTTAGGTAATAATGTCCATCCATTTTTAAGTACAAGTTTGGTTTAGTTTAAATTTTAATAATGATAATCTCTGCAACAAATGCGATAAAAAAAAACAATGTGATAAAAAAATCGCAATGTTTTATGTTTTCTGTTGCAGGGACTCGTGTCCCGCTCTTCGGAAAGCAAAGACTGTGGGGCTCTGTCGGCTGGGGCATTTTCTCACTCCTAACTGGCACGTTAATTGACTGGTTTAGCGAAGGCGCATACAAAGACTACACCGTTGCATTTATACTAATGTTTGTGTTTATGTGTGGGGACGTAATTGTTTCCGCATTCATTAAGGTAAAGTTATCAAAATTTACATACAGGTGAATATAATTATGTTATGTGGTATTATCTATGTAATATTATAATGTCTACTCTTTCACGCGTCAAGTTCTTATTTAACATCGTGCATTAACTTTCAGACTGAATCAACGAGGATATCTGTCAACATCCTCGTAGATGTTGGCACTTTGCTATCTTCGGTGCCAACGTTCGTGTTTATGCTGTGGACGATTGCCGTTGGCCTTTGCACCGGTCTTCTCTGGCAGTTTCTTTTCTGGCTAATCGAGGACATTTATGGCTGCGATAACTCAGACTACGTGAAGACGTTGCAAGGGCTTGCTAGCGCCATACAGACGTTCTGCGGGGAGATACCGTTCATGTTTGCGTCAGGCAAGTTGATGTGCTTACATCTTAAACCTAAATCTTGTATCATCACACCACTTATTGTGACCACCAAATTTGTGAAGCAAAACTTGATAATTTATCGAAAATCGAGGTTGAGACTAGGGGTGCGTCGCGTTTAGCCACATTTCACGAGAGAAGAATGATATAACGTACAGAGATCTCTACAAAGAGATAAAACAAGACAGTTTGCATGGTAAAATCCAATTAAAATTAAAATCCAATTTAAAAAAAATACAAATTTTTCCTCTTAATAAAATAAATTCTTTAATGAAAACGTTTTTATTATATATTCTACTGTGCTAGGTGCTATCGGCTTGATGATTGAGATATCTGTGGTGGTGACGAACTTTAAACAAGGGTTGGCTCTTAAGGTTATCATCGCAATTCGAATCATCACAAAACGATTATTAAAATTATCGTTTGTGGCACTAAATAAAGGAAACAAGGCTCAACAACTCTGATAAATAAAGGAAATGCTGTTGTTGTCTGCATAATTTATAGGGTTCCGTAACTTAAAACATAAAACGTCTGTCCGTATGTCACCACTGTTTTTTCTCAGGGCCTAGCAAGATGAAATGTATTCACAAAATATGGCAAAAATCAAGGTCTTACACAAAGGAAAAATTTCGAAAAATAAAAAAGTTGAAAATTAAGGTAAATTTTGGTACAAGTTTTTACGAAAATCTAAATTTGCCCATTTCTTTTTATCATGATGACTGTGGTCCTTGATTTTTATACACTTATAAGGGACTATAGACCTCCGTATCTGTTATAAATTTCAACTTGCCCATTCCTGAGAAAATCTGTGGTGATTTTTTACCAATTTTATTATGACGATGTAAAGGGTAGCTACGGAACCCTCGGCTTTACTCATAATATTGCTATTTATGTTAAAAGTCGTCTCTGTACAATTTATGTGAATACATTCTTTTGATTACAGTTGCCTGGATAATTCATTTAAAATTATATTTCTCCAGCCAGTTTCTTGTCTGATGACTGAGCCCACATGTGGATTGTTATGAAACAGGTTGCCTAACTGTATAACACGGTGTATACTTCACAGGTCATATACTGAATAAACTGGGTCATATAAACACAATGAGCCTGGTTTTGTTCGCTTTCGGGGTAAGGTTCATCCTGTACTCTTACCTCACGAATGCATGGTGGTTGCTGCCTATTGAGATGCTGCAAGGGGTCACAATCGGAATGTTCTATCCCACCATGGCGTCGTACGCTAATGCGGTTTCACCCCCAGGCACTGAAACAACTGTACAGGTATTTCATCCAAAATGTTATTTCATTAATTATAATATTCATAGGTTGTGAATGGTTCTTCTTTTGGTACATTTTGTCTGTTCACAAAGTGGAAGTACATGATAAACATGATTATTAATATATTCAGAATCAAACAATGAGTAAAAACTAGTAGATTACTTTAAGGAAGAGGCCTTTGCCCACCAGTGGGATATATACAGGCTGATAATACCACAGACCGCCATTATATCAGAATGAGTAATTGCAAAATTTCAATGTCTCTCTTAAATAATTTCAGGGCCTTGTCGGCGCCGTGTTCGAGGGTGTGGGCACTTCGCTGGGTAGCTTCATCGGGGGCAGAATGTACGAATCGTACGGAGGTCCAAACACGTTCCGCTGGTTCGGTATCGGCTCGTTGGTCTGCTGTGCCGTCCACGTGTTCCTTCAATGCCTCATCAAGGACAAAGTTCGTCACGCCGAGATGACGAAAGGTAAACTGAGATCGGTCGATGACGTTGCCGAATAAGCTTAGTATTGACCCCGATGTAGATTGACGATGTAGCATACTTAAATGTTTGAAAATTATCAAAAGTCCTTTTTTCTATTCAACAGAGAGTATGTAGACGTTTTTTTATTCAATGAATCACTAGCACACCTTAATGCAGTTTGGTCTTGTTCCAAAACTTTTTTTGACATTGATAAAAAGAAATTTTCCTATCTCTTTCTACCAAATGAGCTACAGAAACATGCAGTTTTTACAATCAAAACCAACACTCATAAAGTTTTTTAAAAGTTTTAATTAATGCAATGAATGTGTAAAATTGCAACATTCCATTATTTTTACAAATTTATATCATTACTATCACCATATGTGCACTGCCATTGTGACTGATGTATAGGAATAATATATAATAATTGAACTTTTGTCAATTAATATAAATTCTGGAAAAAGTAACTTTAGACTGAAAAAGTATTATAGAATCTTGTTCAATTATTAAAATGCTTTTTTAATACATTGACCTTACTTCACATTTCAATGGTAAATTATTTAATTAGGTCTATAATATTATTAGTACTAAATCAAATTAACAGGGACTGATTTTTAAGGCATGTACTTTATAAAACATCAAAAATTAAGAAATTATTTATATTTCTTTGTATAGTAACTCTCTTTTTATTTTAAAACTTGGTCTTATAGAAATAAACAAGCTTACCAGAAAATAGCTTAGTAAACAAAATTGATAAAATTGGTTTTTGGTAAGAAGTGGAACTATTTGATATTAAATAGTGAACCATTGTTTACAATAATGTATGAAGAATGACTATATAAGACTATTCTGTGCCATTAATACTTAATATTCTGTTCCTGTTCATACCTACATATATTGGCTGTGGTTTTCTTTTTTAATCCTTTATTTTATACACATACCTAAGAATTAGAAATTGTTTTACAATTGCAACTAATCATTATTACTACAAGTTAGAACAATTATTACAAATTGTTAGTTAAGTAATTTTCACATAAACAATATTTTAATATTATTGTCGTACATACTTACATGTAAGAATATGCAAATATAAAAATCCTATAATCATTTAAGATTCCACTGCATCACTGTAAGTTACAGAAAAATTGGGTTGTGACCACTCTGGCAGTGGATAATTGTAGTGTAGTGTAGATAATGGTAATAGACGCAGGTTCCAATGCCGCAATGCCGAAATATTTGTTCGTTTATCAACAAAAAAACAATTAGACAAAGTAAACACTTTTTAATATTAAAATTATTATGCAAATCCAACAACCCTATGTACATAGTACATATTTTTTAAACTCTACATCTTATAAAGAAATTAGCTGGACAATCTAGCTTTTAAATTTTTGATGGTAATGCTATTGATTTTTTCTTAGGTAATTTTACTATTCATAGTAATGAAAAGCATTATTTCCTATTCACCTGTATGTGGTGGTTAATATGGTTGTATAATTGGAATCAAGTGTTTACTGTTTCAGCTTTTATTATTTTTGTCTATATCGTAAATGGTGAATTGTATTGTAATAAGCTTATTTTCACATATATATTATTTTTATAAGTTTTAACTTTATATTTACTAATGTACGGTAGGTATATCCCCAGTATTGTACTAACGTTATAACCTTAGCATTGTCGTTTATAAAATATTAAGCAAATGTTATGAAACAGTTTGCTATATTCTTTCAATATCAATCGTTCAATAAGTTAAAATAAAAATAAATTCCTTTATCAATTGTTTGTTCAAATCACTTTATTTTTGTACTTTTATATGCAGTATAAAAGTAAGTGTATCTACACTTACTTATTTATGTTTCGTAAAGTACCGTTAGGTTTACCATTTTTCCTGAGATAAAATTTTAAATTTTTAATCTCATGTAGTCTACAATGCAATTTTTAACCATTCAAATGAATTAAAAAAAGTATTATGAGTATTCCATTTTCTTCCGATATTAGAGTGAAAATTACTGTACTTTACATTGAATATATTAGAATTTACCCCAAGGAATAATTGTTTTATATTACTTCACATTTTATAATATAAAACATGATGAAAGTTTACATTACGAATACGCTTTTTTCACTTACGAATCATTTACGAATATTTGCAACGATAAAGAAACCCCAGATTAAGATCAAAACCAAATAAAAAACTACAGAGAAAGCAAAATTAGAAAGTAAAAATAACTAGTCACACCTACTTTTCATAGAAAAAAATATTAAGGTTCGATTAAAAATAAAATTAGTAGATCCTACAACGTAGCCTCGTTTCGTATACAAATATTGTAATCGATAGAGATATTTAATCGTATTTAATCGCCATTTAGATTTTGAGAAAAAGGAAATTAAATCTCCCAATTAGTGACGTCGCCCCGTTTCGTTCTGCGATTCCTTCATAAGTATATAAAAGTTTACAATGAATAAAAATAATAATATTTTAAGTATTGTGTATTCTCCAACAAAGTAAAAATATTTGCGTATAATAAATGTGGGTCGCAAGCTACTGACGGCTAAGCAAAAAAGCTTTCTTAGTGCAACTAAAAGTTTAAATTAAAATATTATATTTTTTCTGTTTAAAAAAGATGTGACCAGTGATTTTTACTTTGTAATTCTAATTTCGGCTGTTTTATTGACTATTAAAAATATTTGTAAGTAAAAAAAGAATAATATGTTAGAGACATATCCTTTTTATATACCTTTACCCAAAACAAAAATTGTAGACCGGTTATTAATAAACATAATTATTAAGACGCATATGCTTTCTTTAGCCATGCAAGCAAATAAAGATGTGAATTTTAGTTATAAAAATTCAGTACTCATTATTTTATACATACTTGACAAGCGCTGTACTATATCATAGTTGATATAATACATTGAATTATTTATTTATTGAATCAAAAATATTTGTTTGGTATATGCAATTACATATACAGGGAGACTTTTTCAAAGGTGCCCGAATTTACACAGGAGGTTCAGACTCGGTAGTATAATTGTTTATTGTAATAAAAACAAACTTCTTTTTTCAAAAAACCTACAATTCTATTCTCTAAAAACACAAAACAGAACTTGTTCACAACGCGGTAGTCATTCATAAATACCTAAATTTTACTGTTCACGCACACAAACGAACTTATGTGCGTGTTAATTATGATCGCGCGTAAAATAAATGAGTTGCGTATAAATCACGCACTTTTTGATATAAGTTCAAATTAATGTAAATAACGAGTGGTTTCAAATATTTATCATTTTTTATATAGCATTATTTATGTCTAGAATTTAATTAAAAAAATAGATACACTTAGAAAAGCCTCCCTCTATATCTTAATATCGGCTTATTTTTTTATATATATGAAGCCATATATAAAAAACGTTTGCACTACAGCCTTCAGAAATGCATACTTTGTAATTAAGTAGCTATTAACTTTTTTATTTATAACTACAATGTAAATTAATGATTCAGAAAAATTTCGAAAATTTGGAATTTATTTCTTCTTTTAGTTTCTGGACATTACTACAAATTTATTTGTACAATTTTATTGTAACTTATTTATTTTTGCATTTAAAAATTGTGTGATGATAATAACAGAAACAATTATGCTTAACCAAACTTTTTAATGAAATACCTATGTTCGGTGTTTATATTCCCACAATATGGGATGTTTTACGTCTTTTTCTGTGATTAGTTTACTAAAACTATAACCATTATTTTTTATATTTTACCTTAAAAAGGTTTTGTTATTGTTTCTTTCGTTATAATCATTTTCCTTGCTTTCATCCGTATTATTTCCATTTTAGATTAGTTTAGACTTTAATGAAATTAATGATTTTGGCTATAAGCTGTAATGGATATTTTGTATTAAGTTCCTTTCATATCCAGTATTATTTTGACATTAATGTAATTTTAAGAAATATATTATTGGGCAATTGAAAGCCTGTGTTTGATTTACAATTGCTTATACCTTTAAGGCATGGCATAACTAATGGTCTTATTACTTTTATTTTACAGTATTAAAAATTTCCCTTCCAGGAACTAACTTTGTGTGATTTTAGAAGTTATACTCCTTTTTGTTTGGGTTGGTGGGTTTGGGAAAAATGATGAGTGTGAATTATTACAATGCGCGACATAATTTTATGGTGACATTTACACCTATAATTACAAAATTATTAAAGCAAACCGTTAGTCAATTTCATTTAATGTATTTTTCACTAACAAGGAGTACTGGCACAAGGGATAAAAAGTTTAGTTTATTCTTGTTACGCTAAAGTAGTGTAACTTCTTACGTGCTTACATAAATATACGCACACACACACACACACACACGCGCGATCTTTAATTTAGTGGTCTTTTCATATCGGTGTCACTTGATTGGCGCCAAAAGGAAGCAAGTACATTCCAAATTTTTGCTTTTTTGCTTGCTTTGTGCTTGTGCTTTATATTTCAAATTGATACCATAGAGGAATGTGTCTATGATTGATACTATTTATTTATTTGCATGGTAATTTTGATTTTCTTTCTTGCAGCATACACAATTATGCATCATGAAAGGTCTTACGAACCTACATATATATTGGAAGAAATGACAGATATGAATACGGAAGATTGAAAATTCTTGATTATTTGCATTAACCCTCAATTCAGATAATTTGTGCGATAACAGTAAGTGTTATGTAATATGTTAATATAATTATATAGTTTTTAGTCATATGCAATTAACTTGTAACACAGTCATCAGTCATATAAATAATTAAACATTATTTTCTGAAGGTAAATGTATTAAAAAGTGATTAAATCTGTTTTTGATGTAAATCTATTAAGCTTTACTGTCAAATATGTTGATCACTAATGTATGTTTCCTTTAACATTTCTTTTTTTTTTTTATAGATAATATTCGATGTTGAAAAAACGGCAGAACGTGTGATGATGATTTTTAATACACTACTCTATAACTATCACAGACTTTGATATGTATACTACAACATGTTATGAACCCTGATTGGTGAAGAAACCTAGTTTTAGTTCAACCTGCGGAGAATATGGTGGTCAACGGCAAAATTGTTGGAAATCGGGTTGAGCGTTCTGCTTTAATATCTAATCTTAATTTAGTCTTTTTGAACTGTTTAAGAGCATTATACAACTCCATTTATGAACTTCCATTAGCCCTTAAGTCTATTAAACTGTAAAGTTGAAGCTGAAGTTTTAGTAATAACTAATTATTACCTGTTCCTGGAACATTTTAAGGTAATATAAATGCTAATTGGAGAGACTCCAATAGAGAGAATAAGTGTGGTCGTTTTTATTATTTTATGATCTACAGTTTTAAAATATATTTAGACATATCGTGTGGGTGAAAGGTATTCTGTAACTTAGTGTCTGATATAGAAGTAAAGAGCATATAAATTATATTTAAATTCCTTATTATATTATATATTTCATTGTATTTATTTTCAGATGTCCTTTCTATATAAATGCGTCGCCACTTACTATACCTTTCTAAGTATAGTAATACTTTACTATATAATGTTGCTACATATATATGTAGCCTATACTTGTCCCACTGCTGGCCTCTATACAGAGGGTATCAGGGCATAGTCCACCACGCGGCGCAACTGCGGATTGGCGGACTTCACAAATATTCAAAATATTTTTTTTGTTGTTATTTCGAAAATATTCAGGTTTGCTCAGGATCTTTTCCTTCACCCCAGAGCAAGAGCATGTGATAAGTCGGTACTTAAAATTAACAATTACATTGGTGCCGGCAACGGGGATCGGAACTCAGGTTGCTCGAGTATATTGAAATAAGGCTATGGTTAAGGCGCCAGGGCAATGAGCTATCACGGCTATTTGTAGGGTTATTTCTTAGTTTGAAAGAGAAATATTGATCCGAAAGAAATGAGATTGTATAGATTTCTACTTGAGCTAGTCACCTCGCCAACTGCAATTGCGAGCTGGTAATTATTCAATTCTCAGGCAAGACAAAAATTCTGCTATCCATTTATTCTTATTTCTACTCTAGGTGTACTTGGGGTCCAGCATTGTACACACATTAATGCAAATTCAAGCGACACAGAAATTAATTAGTAGTGCCGGTTTTAAGAAACCTACACCAACACGAGCCTGGTCGACTAATAATAACTTTAATTTTGCTAGCAAGACGCTTGACTTGTGCTGGAATAAATTTAAAATTAAATTTTTAGATCGAAGATAAAGTTTTAGATCTGAGCATTGGCCTTAGTAATCTAATACAAGTTGTCTTAGGCTATTGTGTTTTTAATCAAATCACTATAGACGCTTGCGCATTCTTATGAAATCTCAAAATTTTACATAAAAATTAATACGTTCGTAAGTTACCACCGGTTCGGAAAGCAGTTTCTGTTGAGAAGAAACCGGCAAGAAACTGAATAGTTGCTCTTTTTCGTAATGGTATAATATTGTTACGTGTTAGGGGTTCGAAGGATTTGGAGAGAAAGACCTGCTGACTCTTTTGAAGACTTTATTCAATAGCACTAGGTCCAACACAAAACACTAGGTCCAAACACTAAGCACTAACGATGTCCTGTTTTGTAGCCAAGTCGTAGGTTTCACTGGTATCGCTCTTGATCAGTAGTTTTCGCTCCGAAGTCGCCTCGAAGGTAGCTCAAACTGAACTGTCATCGCTCGCGTCCCTGCGGCTTTTTATATGGGCCGAGACCGGTTCCGGACTAATCCAGAAAGATCATTCCTGGTACGTACCCGACACGCACGAACATGTTTGTGATTCCGGAAAATTCGCGAATGTTCCCGGTTTTCGAGACTATAGTTCCACAGCAGTTCCTCTAACGCCATCTAGCGTTGAATAGGGGGTTTTATGACGTCTTTAGTGGTTTTAATAGTTGAAGCTAGATGGCGTTAGTTCCTTTGTGTGTTCATAACACTACTCCCCTCTTAGAGATGCTCGTCCCGAGCATCATTGTTACTGCCATGGTAACGCGCCAGACGGTCTATGTGTACCACTTTGAATGTCCCTCTTGGTTGCTTTTGAATCCTATAGGTCACATCATTTATTCGGGTAACCACTTTGTATGGACCGTCCCACTTGGTCTGCAACTTTGGAGATTTCCCTTTCCGGCGAGTTGGGTTATGTAGCCACACCAGTGACCCTTCCTCGAAGTCGTTCGTGTTCGATTTCCGGTCGTATCTGGTTTTCATTTTCTCACTTGACTGTAACCCATTTTCCCGAACCAAGGCGTGTATATAGCGCATTTTTTTCCTTAAATTGCAGACGTAGTCTTGTACGGTCTCTGGTCCCTCCGGTGACCCTCCTGTCAATAGGTCTACTGGTAATCGTAGTTCTCTACCGTAATTGACATACGCCGGGGTAGCTTTTATGCTCTCATGCTCCGCGGTTCGGTACGACAGAAGGAAGAGTGGTATATACTTGTCCCAATTCTTTTGTTTGTCGTCTACCAGTTTCGCCAGATGCCTCTCAAGGGTCTGGTTAAATCTCTCAACCATTCCATCAGACTGTGGGTGGCACGCGGTGGTCCTCGTCTTATGCATGCCCAAAATTCTACACACTTCCTGGAATACTTGCGATTCGAAGTTCCTGCCCTGATCGGAATGGATTTCTAGAGGCACACCAAAGCGACATATCACTTCTTCGACTAACTTAGAAGCGACTGTTGTAGCTTCTTGGTTTGGTATGGCGAATACTTCGGGCCATTTGGTGAAGTAGTCCATGGCGACCATAAAATACTTGTTTCCCGATTCCGTTACAGGAAATGGCCCAGCTACGTCAACTGCAATTCGTTCCCACGGTGCACCGACGTTATACAACCGCAGGTTCCCACGGCTTCTGGTCTGTGGTCCTTTTACAGCAGCGCAAGTAGTACATTTGCGGCACCAATCCTGTACATCATCTCGACAATGCAACCAGTAGAATCGTTCTCGCACTTTTGTTAACGTTCTCTTGACACCTAGATGACCTCCTGATACGCCATCATGTATTTCACGGAGAACATCTGGTACTCTCGTTCTCGGGACAATTATCTGAAGATGGAACTCTCTGCCATTAGTCTTCTCCCATTTCCGGTAGAGTATTCCGTTTTGAAGTATCAGACTGTCCCATTGCGCCCAGTACGCCTTAGTGACAGCGCCAGTGGGTGCAACCTCACTCCAGTTTGGTTTTACATCACTCCGTTTCTTCCATGTGATGATGTGCCCAAGGTCGTCATCTCTTTCTTGAGCCTCCCTCATAGCATCATTCTCCCAGAGACCCAAAGGACTTGTCCTCGTTAGCTTTAATGTAACTTCATTAGATTCCTGCTTAACACAATGTTTGCAGTCTTCCGAACACGGCCTTCGTGAGAGTGCGTCGGCATTTCCATGCGTCTTTCCGCTGCGGTGTTCCGTCTTGAAGTCATACTCCTGGAGCTGCTCAATCCATCGAACTACTTGAACTTCCGGGTTCTTGAATTGCAGTAGCCACTTCAAGGCTGCGTGATCAGTTCGCAGTAAAAACTGTCTGCCGATGAGATATTTGTTGAAATGTTGTAGCGTCTTTACAACAGCCAAGAGTTCTCTTCTTGTTACACAGTAGTTTCTCTCTGGTTTGGATAACGATTTGCTGAAATATGCAATAACAACTTCTCTTTCACCCTGTTTTTGAGATAACACCCCTCCAATGGCCGTGTTGCTTGCATCTGTGTCGACTATAAACTGACCTTCAGATTGTGGATACCCCAGGATTGGTGTTTCACACAGATGTTTCTTCAGGTTCTGAAAAGAATCTTCACAAGTCCCATCCCAACTGAATGGTCGTTTATCTTCTATCAGCCGATGTAATGGCTTGGCTATCTCTGAGAATCCCTTAACAAAACGCCTGTAGTATGAGCATAGGCCGAGGAATGCCCGCACTTCGGTTTTGTCCTTAGGGGTAGGCCATTTTTGAACTGCTTCCAGTTTCTCCGGGTCTGTCTGAATTCCATCACTGGAGATAACATGGCCGAGATAGTTGACCTTGCTCCTGAATAAACGACACTTTTTCGGGTTCAACTTTAATTTGGCTCCCTCTATTTTGGCGCTTTAAACTCGCTCCAAGTTTCGCAAATGGTCCTCGAAGTCACGGCCGACAATGATGATGTCATCTAGGTAGACTAAGCAAGCCTCTCCTACTAAGCCTGCAAGTACACACTCCATGAGTCGCTCAAATGTGGCAAGCGCGTTGCACAATCCGAAGGGCATGACGTTAAATTGCCATAAACCTTTACCGGTCGAGAAAGCTGTCTTCTCCTTGTCTTTTGGATGAATTTCCACCTGCCAGTATCCAGATTTCAGGTCTAGGGTCGAGAACCATTTCATGCCACTTAAGGTATCCAAAGTGTCGTCGATTCGAGGTAACGGGTCCTTCTTAGTGACATCATTGAGACGTCTATAGTCCACACAAAATCTCGTGCTACCATCTTTCTTCTTCACTAACACAACAGGTGAGCACCACGGACTTGTAGACGGTTCAATAATCTTATTCCTTCTCATGTCCTCCAAAAGGCCTTCAACTTCTTTTCAATTGGTATCCGTCTTGCTCGTTGACGAATTGGTCTTTCGCTTCCGGTATCTATCCTGTGCTGAACCATCGAAGTTCTTCCAAGGTCCCCTTCTTGACTGGAGAAGATATTCGCGTAGCGCTGTAAAAACTTCCTAGCTTTAATGCCCTGCGAATAAGTCAGATTACTCTTGCAGTCATCGAGTAGCTCAGTCACTGATCCGTAGTTTGTGGCCGTTTACTGGAGCTTCCTCCGTGTCAGCCAGTACTCGCTCCTTAGTTCCGGCTTTTATTCGTTTCCCTGAAGCCCCTTGCTTCTTCAGCTCCTTTATTTGTTCCTCAATCCTTTTCATCCTTTCCATCTGGGTCTCCTTCTGCGGGCAGTTGAGCTGAAGATGGCCCCTCTCGCCGCACTTGTAGCACATGGGTCCAGAACTTCTCTTCGTAGGGGCCTTAACCTCCTTCACTTCCTCAAAGACTTCGCGGATCTTATGGGTCTGCCGTATGTCATGGCGAACAGCCTCGACCTCCAAAGCGTGCGCCAATGCCTCCTTTAACGAGGTATGGTGACGAAGCCTCACTGCAGCTCTGACCTCGAGGTCCTTGATTCCGTCCACGAATGCTTGGACAATATTCGTGTCTACTATCTTGGTATCGGCTCCTGGGTGTCCCTTCCTGACGAGTTTTTCAATTTCCAACGCCCATTGTTGTAGTCCTTCTCCTGAGCGTTGGACTCGGTCACGCAGTTGGGCACGGAACACGTGCTCCAGGTGTCGCTCCCCGTACCTGGATTCAAGTGCCTCCATCAGGTCTTGGAACCCATTTCCTGTATGTGGCAGTGCTTCCAGGACCGCCAAAGCTTGCCCTCTAAGCGCAACAGTGAGAGCGGTCAGGCTTTGCTCTTCCGTCCATCCGTTGGCAGTAGCAACAGTCTGGAATTGCCGACGATAAGCGTGCCAAGAAGTAGTGCCATCGTATGGCGGCACTTTCACTCTTGGTCCTTGCGCCACTCCAGTGGTTCCACTAGACATCGCGACTCCCGTGGTTTCAAGGCGCACTACTTTCTTCTGTAGTTCAGTGAGGCCGGTTTTCACATTTTCAACATCCAATCCTAACCCGGTAACTCGTTCTTCGACTACGTCGACATCACTTCGAAGCTTAATCACCGTGTTACTAACATCATTTATAGCCCAAAGCGCTTTTTCTTGGAGGTCTTTTTGTTGCTCTTGTGATTGTCGAATCGCTCTGATTTCAGCCTGTTGAAACTCTTGAATCGTAGTCAGCTTGCGTTCTTGTGTCTCTTGCAAAGCGCTGAGCTTGCGTTCTTGCGACTCTTGCAAAGCGCCGAGCCTGCGTTCGTGTGATTCCTTCATTGCTTGAATTTCAGCCCTTTGCAGCTCCATTAGTTCAATTAAACTTCCTAATTGAAGAGCCACTTCAGGGGCTGCAGAAGTTACGGTGCCGCTGGTGGGCGTGGCAAGGTGGATGGGGTCAGTGGGCGTGGCCCGGTGGGTGGAGTCGGTGGGCGGTGCTTGTACCAAAGTGGGCGGGGCCTGAGCCGAGGTGGGCGGAGCTTGGGCCTGAATGGGCGGAGTCTGAGGAGCCTGGTCGGTGGGGCCAGTGGGCGGGGCTTGTCCCACAGTGGGCGGGGCTTGGTCCACAGTGGGTGTGGCCTCCGCAGCTCGTGCCCTTGTCCTGACACCATCCTTGAAGTCCTCTCTCGGAGTCAATGGCATCTCCAAATCCCACTTCTGACACCAGTTGTTACGTGTTAGGGGTTCGAAGGATTTGGAGAGAAAGACCTGCTGACTCTTTTGAAGACTTTATTCAATAGCACTAGGTCCAACACAAAGCACTAGGTCCAAACACTAAGCACTAACGATGTCCTGTTTTGTAGCCAAGTCGTAGGTTTCACTGGTATCGCTCTTGATCAGTAGTTTTCGCTCCGAAGTCGCCTCGAAGGTAGCTCAAACTGAACTGTCATCGCTCGCGTCCCTGCGGCTTTTTATATGGGCCGAGACCGGTTCCGGACTAATCCAGAAAGATCATTCCTGGAACGTACCCGACACGCACGAACATGTTTGTGATTCCGGAAAGTTCGCGAATGTTCCCGGTTTTCGAGACTATAGTTCCACAGCAGTTCCTCTAACGCCATCTAGCGTTGAATAGGGGGTTTTATTTCGTCTTTAGTGGTTTTAATAGTTGACGCTAGATGGCGTTAGTTCCTTTGTGTGTTCATAACAATATGTTTTAGCATTTATTTATTTAATGTTTATGCACAAACATTAATGTACAAAGGCGGACTTAGTGCCATCAGCATTATCTCCCAGTCAACCTTCACCATAAGTTCACTTTTAATTTTGCGTTTAAATTGATCTAGTGGCAGACTTAATATCGACTGTGGGATTTTATTATACATGCGCCCTATTCTTTTTTATCATATTCTATAAAGCTTGTCAATAAACTTATATTCTACATGAAAAATTTTTTATACTAAACTAAGAGTTCTGAATATAATCACGAAATACAAGACAATATAGAAATAAAACAAACAAAATCATCTGTAATCAATAATCATCAAAAATAAGTGTAAATGATCTTGATACGAACCTCGGCCGTCTGTTTTGGGGCCGCCCGATTACCGACTGAGCTATTATGACATTTTTTTTGTGGCGAAATTTACTGTCATATTCGAATGATATTTATCATTCCCTGAAAACAGGGATAAAAGGACATTTCTAAAAATGAAACCTAGCTAGATCGATTTTTCGCCCCCGACTCTACGCGCATACTAAATTTCATACCTATATGGTAGCGAATAATCTTTACGGTGGTAGGGCCACGCAGCATTTACGGTGGTAGGGCCACGCAGCATCCTCGGCTGTTGCACGAATGGGCAGGCCCGTCCGGGTTTGTACCACGACCTCACAGAAGACCAGCGTAAAGTGGAAGTATGACAAATAGTTTCGCGTTTCGTCTGGTGAATGAGGTAGCCGGAACTCAATTTTCAAAAGGTTGTCAACGCATCTGTAACCCTCGGGTGTAGCAGATGTCCATGGGCGGCGGTATTCACTTACAATAAGGTGAACCGTCTACTCGTTTGGCAACTTTTCACATAAAAAAAAAAATATAACCTAACCTAAGTACCTAATCTATAACAAAATTTAACAATTTTTTGCGTCTGTGCCAAGCCAAGTATATCTGATCTGACAATAAAATAATTGTTTTAACTTTTTTACACCCTTTAAATAGCTAATTAGATACAGAATGAAATATGTTACAATACAACTATCATTAACAACTTGTTTAACTTCTTTCTATTTACTTTTAGGAAGGTGATATGGTGTACAATCATTATTACCCAAAGTGAATAATGGCACCCAGTCTAAAATATGTAACTTTTGGTAAGTTAGATTATATAGGTTAAATTTTGAATTATTTTAATCAGTTCTTCGAGCGATGGACGAGGGGGAGTAAAATATTAAGCCTGCCCACTGCCACATCAATGAGATACGGCAATGTCCAGAGAAGGATGGTGCCCCGAAATGGGTCTTGGCCTCCGATACGAGTCCTATCTTTACCATCGCCTGGGCAGCTACAGTTTACAAATCACAGGGTACAACTATGAATGGACCTTTCATAGACTTAACTTTGGCGTGAAGATTTATTTATAATGTTCTCTATATGGTCTCTAAAACTTAATGAGCTGTCGATAATCACCCCTAAATCATTAATGCGTTCTACTTCCTGTATCTTTCAGTTCTCAAGTGAAAAGTTGGCTAGCCGTTTTAACATTTTTCTACTAAACTTTATGCGAAAACATTTATCAAAATTCAATGACATATAGTTAGATGTACACCAAGAAACTACATTATCGATCTTTCGTTCTTTTTTCTACAAATTTTAATGTATAATCTTAAGTGCAGAGATGAGCACTATAAAAATTAACATCTCACTTAAAACTAAACCTATCTGGTAAAAAAAATCTCATCGATTACTTCCGCTGTAACGGAAATGAATTAGACTGGTATGGTTGCTATTTAAAACAAAACAAGGGACGAGATGTACCAGCGGAAAACATTGCCGCGCTCCACTAAGCATACCAAGCATTTCAGAATTATTTGACCTTTCCATTAATTTTAAGTCATCGCAAAATTGAATGCGTTTAAAATTCCGATAAAGGTTGTGGCCCATGGGGAAAAAACGACAATGTTTTTTTTAATGTGAGAAGGTGACAAGTTCGCCCTTGCTACCTCACTCGCCAGACAAAACGTAGAAGCATGACACTTCCAATTCACGCCGGTTTTCCGTGAGGTCCTGGTAGGTATTTAACTGGATGGACTGACCCATTCGTTCAACAGATGAAGCTGTTTCATGGCCTTACCATAGTCAAAAAACAGGTTTTTTTTAGTTAATGATCTGAAAAAAACATTATTAAGTATTATTAATCGGCTCTCAGATTTTCTTTATATTTATCTTACTATATTATGTTAAAAATAATAACTAAATTATTAATTTGAACGCAGCTTAATATTTTGCTTTTTTTTGTATAATCTGTGTCAGAGAGGAGAACTCTAGCGCCAACCTGATGAACTATCAAGAAGTGATTAACAGAAAAAAAGTCTGACTCAATAACATCGTCATTGATACTTTGGTTTGGATACAAGAATACCATCAAAAATTCTAAAAATGATATTCACAGCTATATAGTACTTTTCTATGGCTTGTGACGTCTCATAATATTTGAGTATTATCACCAGTAATCATGAAAAAGAAATTGTATAAGATGTAATCTTAATTTGAAATCCTCCACGTCCAGTCATGGGTTCCCGATTGAGGTGATTTCTGTAATTTTTTTACTTATATTGCGCTATATCTCGTTCTTAATAGTTATCTCACAATATTGTCCAATCGTTTAATCAATATTGGTTGTATTCCTTGATTATTTTAGCACCCCATTTTGACTTTAAATTTATTTACCAATCTTTTCTTTCAAAGTAAACTTACTTTCTTTTCGTGAATGCCATTGTGACACTTTAAAACTGTAATAATATCACTATAATCATATCCTGTAGGCACTATCATATATTCTAATGACACATTTATTTATATTTTATTGTCAGTAATGTTGATAAAAATGTGGGTGTGATAATACAGAACAATTCTTAAAATATGTTAGATGGATTCTTTATCAATATATTTGTGTTGCTTTTAAGCTTACAGTATTAAACTAGTCTTAATTTTTGTAGATTCATTAAAAACAATGCTGTTTTTGAATAATTTTGTTTTGATTGCAAATTTAAAATACCTTTCTAACTATTAATATTGGGAAGACACTCTTATTGTAACAGAATGATAATGTATCATACCAAATACTTTTTCATTTCACAGAGATACTGTACGATTCTTATTTGAATTGTTCTGTGAAGTATCACCCGGTGATCATTCAAGGGAGCCTTTTATATTAAGGAAATATCCTGATTCATACAAGAATGAGGAGGAGCTAAAGAATATTCCAAAGTTTACATTCCCATGTCAATTAGATAAGTAAGTATTAAGTTTATTAAAAAAAAACAAATATGGAGCCTAATATTTTGTTTTGTTATGAAACAAATGTGTTGTATCTATGTGTTACTATGTTATAAAGATGAAACTAAGAACCTATTAAATTTACTATAAAATCTAGGGAGGTCAGTTTATTATACCTGAATTAATGTTATTCAGTGTATAAAAATTGATTAAAAAATATACTGTGGTCTAGTGTGATTTCATAACAAATTTTAATAATTGTTTGGGTTATTAACTGTTTGGGTTTATTAATGATGAGGGGACACAAAATTCCTTATGATGAGTAATTTCTGCATGTATTAATATCTTTTATTGTCATTTGGCTTGCATCCCATTGAAAATTATGTTGGATAAACATTAATGGCAGTTAAATGCAAAACATGAACAATACATGTTTCTTTAGTAAATAATATTAATGATAAAAATAGGAAATTGATGTTTAGGTGTTTGTATATGCTGAGCAATACTTTGCAAACTCTTTAGCATTAATTGCCTGATTTTGGCCCTGAGTCTGTTTTGAACATAATATTATTATGGAATGGATGGATGCAAGTACGATAGAACAAGAATCTTGTTCTATTGTACTTGCATCATTTTTGTGATTGCATGAGTTTGATATAAAGATAGTTTTTTAGGATCTGGGTGTTTTTCCACAACATAGGATAATACAGTAAGGTGGCAATGTTTTCGAAGGGAAGATAGAAGCAATCGAAGGTTGTAGTGGTTGTTGGGACTTACTAACTAACCCCTTCCAAACAAAATCCACAATTCTACAATATTCTACATAAGTCAACTATTAAAACTTTTCTAGAATATTAAAGATATTGATGAAATAAAGAAGAGTCTTACCAATACTACTCAAAATTAGTTGCTTTGTTTTGCAAGGTTCGCTTAATAAAACAACTTGATGTCGTCATTATTCGTCACAGTTAACTTGGCACCATTATCATAAAGCAATGAGTAAAATGGCGTCTGATTTAGTGTCACTCCTTCTGCATTGCATATTCTAACAATTACCTAATTATTTAGAAACTAGGGTGTATTGTATTTTCATTCCATTGTATTTCCAAATGTTTTGTTATATTTTACCAACATCTTACCTACATATTTACGATAATTTTGATTAAGATAATTATGTTGAAAGTTTATAAATTATTTTATGAATAAAAAAATTTTGTCATTGATATTATTATTACTGATATTTTCAGTAATAATAATATCAATGACAAAATTTATATATAATAATATTACTCAATATTTTCAGTACATTCGTACAACATTACTCGTTTGTGCTGACTTCAGTGGACTCCAAATACACATTCTGCTTCTGCCGATACGACCCTAAGGCGCATGCTGCATTAGTTTTGCTCTCGCATTTACCATGGCACGATATATTTTACAAGTAAGTATAAAATATTCTTTTGACTTCCCCCGAATGTGCTCACCAACATATAAATGAACAACAAAAAAAAACAATTGAAGAAAGGTGAAGAGGTCTGCATTGCTTTATTTTTAATTGTTATCATTTGGTAGGACTTTAAAGTTGTCTGTGTTGCATTTATATTCTCTGCAAAGCTTTCTTAAGTTATATCTTTGTCTTTGTTTTGTAAAGGAAATTAAATAAATAGGAGGAGCCTTTTTATTTGATGTTATATCTTTAATTCAAAATATTTTTTTTATTTAATTTGGGTCCTTTAAATTGATTATGGATTTAAAAAAACCTTCTTAATCTTGCCACCCTTTAAAAAATAGTGGGTCCCAGTGACATAACCCACGAGATGAACGGGAAAGTAAAATGCTTCCCCTTCTAGTCGGTTCTGTGACGTTGTGGTACTTTCCTAGACATGAGCGTGGGTCTACCACAGTACAAACTGATTTTAAATGATTTTATTAATGATCAAAGGGTGTTTTATATTTGACTGTTTCACTTTGCTGAGCGACGTAAATTACCAGACGAAATGCGAATACTTCCACTTTATGCTGATCTTCTGTGAGTCTGTGGTACTTTCCCGGACCAGCTTTCGCCCATTCGTGCAACAGCAGAATTGATATCATTTGACATTATTTAGCAATCTCATATCTAATTAAACCATGAAATGAACTATGTTGTAGGACCATATGGACAGAGAAAGCCTATCATGCTAGGGAAACATGAACATACATAATATACAGCGTGTCGTTACCATCGCGACAATAAATGAACACACATATAGGGGATAAGTTTTTAAAGTTGTATTAAACGTTTAAATTCTTTAAACATCAATATTTACAGAGTTATTAAATTTTCCAAAACAAAGAATTTTAGAACACCCTTACCTATAAAAGCGTAAAGTAAAGTTCATTTGTAAAGGTCACAAAGCATATGAATGGATTGAATGAATTTAAAAGAGACAAAACATACTGTTAGAAGGAGAGGCTTGTAATACGACGCTGTGGCGCGAGTTGTATAGGATGTTAGAAATTTTGTTTCTTTTTTACTTAATTAGTTTGTTTGAAAAATATTTTTTTTAATTATGGATTTTGTTTTACGTTAATATTTTTTTATGATTATTGGCTCGTAGCGTTAGACGTGTGTTCATTTATTGTCGCGATGGTAACGACACGCTGTATGAAGCGACTTATTTCACCTTAGTATCCTGTACAAGATAAATTTAAATGGAGATCGATAGCTTTGCATTCGCAGTAAAAAAATATTGCTCAGCGGTGAAGGAAAACATCGTGAGGAAACCTGCATATTTACATATAATAACAAAAAAGTGAAGTCTGCCAATCCGCAGTGGAGTCTCGTGGTGGACTATGCCGTAATACCCTCAATACTGAGGAGGCCTTTGCCCAGCAATGGGATGTGTGTATAAGCTGTCAATTTACTTTTACTTTACATCAATGCGCCTTGCAGTGAAGCGCGGTTCTCAGTATGACTTCGTTCTTCTTACCGTCATCATCACACCGAAACCGTCCAGGCGATGAATTTTCCCGTTTGTTCTCGGTTCAGTAAATTTGTTGAGTTGGTTTATGCAAGAATAGAACTAAACTATTCCGAACGCATAGCGTATATGACTATTACCTTTCATTACTGACTGTTTCAAGCATGCGAATTTTGTCTATAAACATTTAAATAACTAAAAAATATTATTTAAACAACTTTACATGTATATATGAATATGTTATTGTTTTTGAAATGTTCCATATGGTTTACGTGGCATATAGTGATAGTGATGAATGACAGTAATTACCATTTTAAGGGTTATTGTTGCTACAATTATTACCCTCGTAACATCATTATCATAGCTGATATAAGGATGCCGTTATACTTGCATTTTTATAATATCTGAAGCGTCTTAAGCAGTCACGGATATTTGATATGTTATTATGATAATTGATTATGGCTTTCTGATCCATTGGCATGAATGCGAATTTTGTTATCAAGATATACTTCGCAATGATTAGACTAAGGGTTATTCAAGAAAAAAAAAACATTAAAAAATCATCCCGTCGCGTTGTGCCATTTGCCCATTTTTGGCCATGTTCTCAAAATTAGAGAAACCTTTTAGATACGTCAATAGTATAAACGCGTCTAGATCTCGCACGCTATTATGCGATCATAAATACTTGTTCCGTACGGGTATGGGATCCGTATCCCGAGACGCTAGATTATCACGAGACGATATATTCTATGCTATCGCTAAGCAGCTTCGCGTTGCCATTACCAGTTTACTAAGTATCGACATTTTTACGTTTGTGTTCCGCGTCAAACCGTAAACGCTTACCTTCTTCCAGGTTGTTAAACTGTATCGCAAATTTGCTGAACAGCCCGGAGAGGGGGGAGTTGTCGTCGTTTCTAGAGGCGTGCCGCATACGGCCACCGATGCCCGGCCACACGCTAAAAGTTACATACAACGCGGGCCACAGCGTGTTCTCTTGCCAGTGTCCGGACGCGAAACTGCCGAGCATTCCGGAAAACGTGAGTGCTCGCCGATCTTTTTTTTTTCTCTTTATGTGAGAAAGTGGCAAACGAGCTGGCAGTTCACCTGATGTTAAGTGAACACCGCCGCCCATGGACCGTTGCAACACCCGTAGGGTTGCAAATACGTTGCCACCTATAAATAGAGTGAGCCCCGGCTACCTCACTCACCAGACGAAACGCAGAAGTGTAACACTTCTACTTTACGCCGGTCCTCTGTGAGGTCGTGGTACTTACACGGACGGACCTGCCCATTCGTGCAACAGTGAAAACTGTTGCGAGGTCCTTACGCAGTAAAAAGATCTTGCGTAACCCTAAAACTCCGAACTTGTTCAAAATTCCCAACTACCTGTATTCGACTTGTGTGTGATTCCAAAGTAGATACCGTTTGCTCACATACGTACACATATAAATCATCATCATTCAGACTTATTGTGTCCATTGTGAATTTAGGCCTCCCCTACAGACAACCACGCAAGAGTATAATAAGATGCAACCATACAAGTAAACCAACAAGACAACCAGTCAACGGCTATCAGGCTCACGGTCCGCACCGAACTTCGATGGTCCGTAGACGCCACTAATTAACTATAGATAGATAACGCAGGCATGAGCACATGCGCGGACCTGCCTACTGTGGAGGGCCACCAACCCGTGAGTTCGGACTGGCCCACCGGTTCTGCGTTCGACGAAGCTTCAATAGTCTTGGGACTGACATCCGTTAATACAATATAAAAGACAACCATACATAAATATATACGTTTCTTTATGGGACAGGTGTCGAGGTGAACTAGCGACTTTGCAACACTCATAAGGTTTCAGATGCGTTGCCACTTTTTAAATAAAGTGGGCCCCGGCGGCCTCACTCATCGGACGAAACGCAGAAGTAGAAGGAAGTAGAAGGGAAGTAGAAGGGTGCTGCAAATGTCAATGCGCGGCGGTTATCAGTTAACATCAGTTGAACCGCCAGCTCGTTTGCCGCCTTCTCACATACAAAATAGGTAGCTAGTTGAAAACTAAGCAATGTTTTTCGTACTATGGATACTAGATAACTATAACATACTTACAAATAATTTTTATATTATATAATTATGTGTATTATGAAAATATATAAACTTATAGATATTACAGATAAATTGTTTTCAATACACGATATCTTTCCGGTATTGGGGATAGAGCCATACTCTCTACTGTAAAAGATGAATTCACTACTTCAACTCGTCGATGTCCGTCGCATACTATCGACTACTATGACTACTACGACTACTATGTCCGCTTGACTTTAGTAGTTAAGATGACGGATCCTCGCTGGTTCATACCTTCGGCCTGCTGCCCCTTTGACGTTGCTAAAGTCCAAATCGTGTAATGTCTAGTGAGGCATTCCACGGTGCCGAATACCTCTGCAATACAGTGGTATTGCATGTTCCCTTATTGCTACGTACTTTTCAGTGCAACCTAACGGAGTACTTCAGCGCCATGGACACTAAGTGCATGGCTGGTCTGTGGGCGGCCCTGCTGCACGAGCGTAGGGTTGCGATAGTGGCGTCGAAGCCCTCCCGTTTGTCCGCGTGCGTGCAGGCCGCGAACGCAACCCTATTCCCCATGTCCTGGCAGCACATCTTCATACCGATACTGCCCAAGCACCTGGTTGACTACCTGCTGGCCCCCATGCCGTTCCTCATCGGAGTTCCTAGAAGTGTTATGGAGGTGAGCTCATTTGCTAGTGATTGCTGGTTCCAAGTCAAACCTTAATTGCGTCGGTGGCGTTCTGTATGCAAATCGAATTTTGAAGATGCTTTTATGTAGCACGCCAATGTATGTTTAAGTTGTTAAAATTTTTTTTAAGAACATTCTGCCTTATGCTACTATGCCTTATGTCTTAATCCTCTGTTAATATTTTAGAATTAACAATAATTCACAGTAAATGTAGTGGACTTGATGACAACTGTCTTATCTTTCTTTCAGACCGTAAAAATGTCAGAGATTGGTGACGTTGTCGTATTAGACGTTGACGCCAGTGAAGTACGATCTCCCTTTAATGATTTGGAGAGCCTGCCATCGGATATGGTAAGCGATTCCATTTACAAATAACATTTTAAATGAGTTAAGTTCGATCGATATGATAAAAACAATGAGAAATCGTGATTTCTGTAACCTAAGAACTCATAAGGTCTTGGCATACAGCTTATCAAATTCAAGAAATCTGTAAAAAAATTAGTTGAAGTTTTACTGTAATTTATGGTGTATTTGTTGAATATGTTGCCATATGACGCCACAGATGATTTTTTTTAGATCAGTTCAAAAGATAATTGTTAAAATGAGAGTTTTTTTCAATATGGCTAAGAAAAGGAACCCCACGACCACAATGTTTTATTAGTATATTAAAATGATTGCAGGAGCCAGGAGATTATTAAAATAATGATTTCTTGAGTTTACGCGAATACTAAACATTTTGGATTAATTCTAGTTTTACGACATTTTACGTGTTTATTTTTCATTTTAACTCCCGACGATTGTTCCGTGACATTGAACTCAAATTAAAATCAAAATTAACTTTCGATGTATTGTGGTATTCCTTACTTAAAGAACATTGTCGATTCGTTTCAGGTAGCGAGTCTGAGGAAAGCTCTAAGTGATAAAAATGCACTCGGCGACGCCGTATCGAGGGCTTTTTTACGAGCTTTGGTGTGTCTTATTGGAGGCTATAGAGACGCTATTAGGTAAATATTACTATGAATACATACTTAATAAAACACGACAACATACTTGTTTAATAAAACACGATAAACACGAGACGATGGGTTGCCTTTTGACTTTTTAAAATTTCACCTGACATAGGAAATCGTAGTAATTTACTTGACTACCAGAAAGTAAAATATTTGTTTATTAACTGCGTGACTTTTAATTGAGTAGATGTTTTGTCCGATGTATATAATACTTGCTTTTCGCGCGCGGCTTTGCTTGCGTTGAAGAGAAAAAAAATACAATTCAAAAATAGCCTATGTCCTCTCTCAGGCTAGCCTCTTAGCTTCTAGCCTATCTGTGTATCAAAATTTTATTTAAATCGGTTCAGTAGTTTCGGCGTGAAAGCGAGACAGACAGACAGAGTTACTCTCGCATTTTTAATAGTAGTATGGATGGAATACTCTGAATTGCTTCAAAGGTACGCAAGTTAAAAAACAGGCCAAAACAGAGGTCCGGCTCGGTCCTCTGTTCTGGCAACATACAAGTAAACATTGAGGACCGATCAGAGGATAATTGAGTTTGAAGAAGAGGTCTTTTAGTCCCTCGAACCTGGCATTTATCATCGTCCCCACTGCCTCCATTATGGACCGTTGCAGTATCTCCGGCTCATGCAATACAGAAGAGAGGGGAGTGGCTGATGTCGCGTGCCTACGCTGCGTCTCCCTCAGGTCAGCCTGTAATGTCGTCACTTGGCTGCGGAGTTCAGCCAACTCCGCTTTAAGACGCGAATTATCCGCAGCCAACTTTTTGGTCTCCTCTGACACCGAGGTTTGGCTCAGGGCCTCCACCGCACTGCTTATTTGCGTTGCCGCATCCTTGCGGGCCTTAACAAACGTGCCCTTCAGCTTGGACGATTTGGTAGCGACATGCGTTATTATTGATACCTGCTGGAGCACTCGCTCCCGCAAGTCGTCCGCAAGAACATTCATGTCCTTATCACTCTCACAGGTCTCTGAGAGGCAGATAGGTCCTAGATTAGCTTTACGCGAAGCTTCCACTACCTCTTGCTCAGCCTGAAGTTCTCTTGCTGCGCGTTCTGCAGCGATCAGGGCAGACTTGCCTTTGGCCCTTGTCGTACTGCCTCTTTCAACGGGGACATCAGCGTCATTGATCTGAGTTGCGCTCGCCTTTTTCCAGCTTACGCCATCAGACTCCAAATAGTCAGCCTGAATGGGTTTCTCCCCCTGCACGTCAGTTCGCTTGAGGTACCGTCCCCGCTTATCCTTAACTAAGATAGGGGATGCAATGCGTCCCCGGCCTCTTTTCCCAGCCAACACTTTTTGAGCTGGCTGCTCGTCGTCACTCGAGGTCCCGCTGACGTTAGGGTCCTCGCCTTCTTTTCTCGGGCGTTTCCGAACATCCCCGAACATCCCAAAAATTTCGACGGTCTATCCTCAGATACGCAGTTCGACTCTCCAACGGACGCAGACCTTCTCAGGCCCGCGCGTCCTTCACCTACCAACTCACATAGCAAGTCTGAGTCCATATTAGCGCTTTTGTCATTTTTGGTATTTGGTTTATTCAATGTTGCCATAATGATCCCACGAATATTAGGTAAAAAACAGTCCACCGAGCCAGTGACCGTGTAGCCCGGTAACCCTACATACACCTGGGGGTCGGGAGGTACCCAGGGTTGGCCGCTAATGGCTGGTTTGACGCCCCAGCCGCTCTTTCGAGCCCACGCCGCGTACCGCAGCGCCGAAATCGGCGGATTTTTTAGTGAGGTTTACTCCTCGCGGTCCGACCGGTGAAGGTAAGACCTTCAGCTCTGCTGCAGGCCGCGAGACATGTCCACGACACCTGCAACAGGGTACCGAGATCGCCCGGTGTCGACAAAGCCGAGTGCGCTTGGCAAACTCACCGCACGAGTCAAACGTCCCCTTTCGGAGACTTCCTTCCATACATCACGCAAACACTCAACCTATTTACCCATTCCCCCCCACATAACACCCACCTTTCATACATCTCGCTTTATTTCCCCCCCTGTTGCTTCCCTTGTTCCCTCTCACGAAAGAGGGATACTGGGAGCAATTAAGGCCCGCCTAGAAGGCTCTGCCTCGTAGGGCATTAAGCCCTTTGGCATCCCTGGGTCCTGAAAAGGATCACCAGATGCCCCCCCCCCCCCCCCCCCCTTGCCAGTTTTGGTCCACGCCCATTTGGTTTCCCGGTATCACCCATGTCTGGGTGACATTCCCCTATCCGCCACCTGGGGACGCGCCCGATAGGAGGTCTGGCAACTCCCACGGGGACTATCAAGCATACTTGTCGCAACTTCAGTAAGGCCCTCGAAACCTCTCGGTACTAAACGCAAGTTTTCGAGTGAGTATTTATATACGCGGCTACCCGACGGGACGATGATCAATGCCCAGTTTGAGGGATTAAAAGACAGGTTACTGCCCGAGAAGCGCTTGCGTCCACCACTAGCCGTAGATAACCGAGCGACTCAGTCGTCTGCAGCCGCCATAAAACCAACCACGGTTAGCGACGTCAGACTGACTGGGACACCAGTTCCTGCAACGGGAAGTGGGCCATCTGTGACCAATGTGCATGAGACGAATGTGAAACTGCGAAGGAAAAAGAAGCAGGAAACGCCAGGAAACACCAACCAGGATGTTTCAAGCGCCCCGCCATCGGCAACACCAGAACATCCCTCGGAGTAATGGACATTGGTTACCCGGCGCCGACCTGGCAGATCTGGCACTGGTACCGCAGACAAAGCGGCAAGTCCCAAGGAGCGGCAAAAGATACCAAAGCTGGTGACGGCGATTGCCACGGCTTTGTTCCCTCAGCGAGAGGAGCATACGCCACCTGTGATGGTTCGACCTGACTATGAGGAGACTGACGTAAGTGTGGAAGTGCCTGAGGTGACCCCGGGGGAGCTTGGTGCTGCCGTTCTAAAGATGAAAGCCAAAACCACCGCCCCGGGTCCTGACGGTATTCCTGGACGAGTCTGGGCCCTGGCCCTGGAGGACGCCCTGGAGCCCAGGTTGAGGGCGATGTTTACTGCCTGTCTGGCTCAAGCCTCAATTCCACAGAAGTGGAAGACAGGTAGACTCGTCCTCATCCGGAAGGACGGGCGTCCCGTGGACTCACCCTCTGCCTATCGGCCGATAGTACTGCTCGATGATGTGGGCAAACTCTTTGAGAGAGTCGTTGCCAGCCGCATCATCGGTCATCTGGAGCATGTCGGCCCTAATCTTTCTGATAGGCAGTTTGGGTTCCGCAAGGGTCGATCGACAATACACGCGGTGCTGAGAGTGAGGTCCCTCGCGCAGGAAGCAGTTTCCCAGGGTGAGGTCGTCTTGGCGGTGTCTCTTGACATCGCCAATGCCTTCAATACCCTGCCCTGGGCTTGCATCAGAGAGGCGCTCCGGTATCATGGAGTGCCCCTTTACCTGCGCCGTACCATCGGGGCCTACTTGTCAGACCGTCGTGTAGAGTATCCATGCAGAGACGGGCTTCGACGAGCCATCGCGGTGACGTGTGGAGTTCTACAGGGGTCGGTGTTAGGGCCGCTCCTGTGGAATTTAGGTTATGATTGGGTGCTGCGTGGTGCCTACCTCAGGGGTGTCGAGGTGACATGTTATGCTGACGACACCCTTGTGACCGCCCGCGGCACAAACTTTCGTCGGGCTGCTATTCTCGCCACTGCGGGAGTGGCTCAGGTGGTGAGGCGTATTCGGCGACTAGGGCTAGAGGTGGCGTTAAGTAAATCCGAGGCCCTATGTTTCTATGGACCTCGGAACGCACCACCTGCGGACGCCCATATTATTGTGTGTGGCGTCCGTGTCGACGTACAACCTACCATGAGGTATCTCGACCTAGTCCTAGATCGCCGATGGGACTTCTGTGCCCACTTTGAGCGGCTATCTCCCAAAGTGGTGAAAGCAGCAGCAGCTCTCGGCAGACTGCTCCCAAACGTTGGCGGTCCCAACGATACGTGCCGTCGCCTATACACCGGAGTCGTGAGGTCAATGGCCCTGTATGGGGCTCCCGTGTGGGTTGACACCCGGAGCCGCCGGAGCAAAGCACTTTTGTGCAAACCGCAAAGGGTGTTGGCAATACGAGCCATTCGGGGCTACCGGACCATATCCGGTGAGGCGGCGTGCCTGTTGGCTGGATCTTTGCCTTGGGACCTGGAAGCTGAAATCCTCGCGTCACTGCACTTCTGGCGCGAGGAGCTAAAAGCCCAAGGCCACACGCCAGCCACAGACGAGTTGGGGACGCGTAGGAATGTCTTGCGCTCAAACGCCATTGCTGAGTGGGAGCAAAGGCTGGAGCACCCCAGCGCCGGCCTAAGAACCGTGGAGGCCATACGTCCTGTCCTCAGTAGGTGGCTGGACAGGCAATACGGCGCCCTCACCTACCGCGCAACGCAGGTCCTCTTGGGACATGGTTGTTTCGGGAGGTACCTGTTTCGCGTGGCGAAGAGGGAGCCCACAGCGGAATGCCACCACTGTGACGTATGTGCCGAGGAGACGGCCCAACACGCGCTGGAAGAGTGCCCTGCCTGGATGGAGCAGCGCCGAGAGCTGTGCGCTATCGTGGGGCACGACCTCTCGCTGCCTGCCGTGGTTCGTGCTATGGTGGACAGCGAGAGGGCGTGGGGTGCGGTCCTTGCTTTTTGTGAGGACAAAGTCACCCGGAAGGAGGCCGCGGAGCGAGAAAGGGAGGCAACTGCCACCCTGGAAATCCGCCGCCGGAGACCAGGGCGCAGGAGGCTGGCCTACGCGCTGCTTTACTGCCCCGTAGGGCGCATTAACTGCTGCCCCGTAGGGGGATCGAGAGGGGTGCCGTGTCCCTTGCACCGATACGGCACCATTTGGCTGGACCGGGTGTCTAAAGACCCGGAGAGAGGAGGCCATAGAAGGCCACAGTCGCGCCGGGGTTCGCGGAAGATTGCGTTTTCGTGTTCCCGTGTCCCCGGCAAAAGCGACAGCGCAGTTGCAACGTGGGTTTTTAGTGGGTACCCCCGTGTCCTGGGGACTCCCACATACCCTCGCTGTCTACCCACAAGGTGGCGGGGGATCCATAAAGCATTTTTCCCACGTTAAAAAAAAAAAAGTTTGAAGAAGAGGTAAATAGGTTGTTGGTGTGATGATGGCGTTGGGATATAATAGGGTCATCCAAAATCCCTAAACAGGGGGACGGTACGATAATCGAATCTGGCAACTTGTTTTACCAATGGTTGATCAACTGACCCAAGGAGTGGACAATAAATCCGACAGGGTTTTATCGAGCACAAGTCTCTCATTACAACTTTGCTGTAATCCAGGATCTATCATAGTTGGGTTGCGTACTTTGTACTCATAATATTTTGATGACTCCGTGGCCCAGTTTTCAAGCTGGCGGAAGCCGTGGGTTCGATTCACACCCGGGACAGCTATTTGTGTCTGCCCACGAGCCATATCACGAGGAACTGAAATTACGCCAACTAGCTTGCAATTCTATAGGCTGCTATCTCCTTACGTTACGTATCATACGTTCTATAGGATATCTGTCACATTCACAATTTTTAAACGCCGCGCAGTATAGACATGCGTCGTCTTTATTAAACATCATTGCGATGCGCTGAGAGTGGGTAATTTTGTTTTGTCATCTGAAGACTAAATTCTCCAATCAATGTGTGTTGTCGGTTGGAGTTCCATAGGACCCAAACGTGGTCACTGCTGGCCGTATGAAGTTCAAAGTCGCTTGGCGAGCTAAAGATCGAGTTATGCTCGGTATTTCGGTATCCGCAGTGGGAAAAAAGGTGAAAGTGTCAGTAATGGTCTGGACATAAATAGGACCGATGGGGAAGATAGGTTCTCGAATGACAACCTCTTATTGGCCATCACAGAGAATTACGACTGCCCGCTAGATAATGGAAATACAGTCTGTGGGGGTGGGCTATATTCCGCCGTGGATTCGAACGGGCTAAAATGATGGTCAGAGCAGTTAATTTATCCGAAAGTTTGCAGCGCAGCGTGTCGTAAACTTAGATTGCCAGTTGCCACACGGGACTTCTCCATCGGTTCATCGCCACTTCAGCTTTTACCTTTGTTTTCGTAGGTGTATCTAGATCAACCTGTTTATCAATGTGAAATTTTGTGTGGCGAGTTTTGGAAATTTTTTCATTGTAAAATAATAGGAAATAACGTTATCTACTACAGTATGGACGACGCTTTTAAAACTATGAAAAGAAAGAAATCTCTCATCACTGATTGGCAATTGCACTGTTAATCAAAGACAGTATACGATCACAATAAAAACGTTATCAAGGAAAAAGTCACATTTCTTTTTTAAATATATGCTTGTTTTAATAATTTTTAACTTCGAAGTAATCAATAGTAATTCTAGATGAATCTTTATATTTCTAATAACAAATTCAAATGTTGCGAGTTCAAGAGTTATCATCGTGTTAATTTCAGAATTGAGAAAGGTCAGCTGATCACTTTCAATCCGGAGGCGTTTGTCAGGACGAGGAAGAATATGCAACCATTTTTAAGGAAAATACTTCAGTCGCAAATCTTCCAACAGGTGAGTGGGATATTAGTGGGTGTAATTTTAAACCATCTAAATCGCTACAAAAGCAGAAAACGACACGCGTACTGACTGTTTCATATAACTATTGTCCTCACTTACATTTTAGTTTACCTCATAGAACAAATATTAATTGGAGAAAACGTGACAGAAAATTATGGAGTATTTGAAACACTATGACAAATCAGATCGCTAAAATGTGTCATATTTCGTATAATTTTTTTTATTATAGTTTTACAAAAAGACAACTGCATACTTTAGTGAACCAGTATTAAGTCTTTAATAATACATATAGATTATGTTAAAATAAATATGTGATACTTAAATGTTAGTTTTTTGCATGCGTCAGTCGTGGCCCGAGGTTTCATCTACTGTAGATTTATATGTCTAAATACAAAATAACCTCTCCACGTAAGGAAACGTAACGTAAGGAAAGTAAGAAAGATTATTACAGAATTATTATTAAGACTATTACGAACCTATGAAATATACCTGTATTTCACAGGTTGTTAGTAAAACAACAATATTTATCAACGAAAACTGAGTCCTGTTTTATATCATGGACTGGCTAGCTCTATACCATGAAGATACAGGTCAAAATTTCATATCATACTATTTCAAACTATTTATATACTACTTATAAATGATATTTCTGTGATTGTGAAGGAAAGGAAAATTTGTGCCTTAATGGGATAAGGAGAAGGAAAAAGATAAAGAAGATTCGATGCACATAATGTTAATAGTAATAAATTTTGTAACAAGTTAACCCTTCTTAGGTAGCGGGTGTTGCTGTATATGACCTTGGATAGTACTATTATGTGCTCGTATATAACTTCGATATAGTTTAATCGAGGATGCATAGATCATATATCTACGTCACTCCCAAACCCGTGGGTTCTGGCTAGCACACCGGTTCTGCGTCAGATGAAGCTTTAATAGTCTCGGGACTGAAAGCAAAAACATCAGTTAATACAAGATACAAGATCTACGTCACAGTTCCAAAGTAGAGCAATTATAAAAAAAATTACGTCCGCGATCAATGAGACTGTGGCACTTTGAAACCGATCAAGTACTAACCTATACGTAAACTATAAGGGTCATAGACTGTGGCACTTTTCCACTCTGACACCGATCAAGTACTAACCTATACGTAAACTAAGGGTCATAGACTGTGGCACTTTTCCACTCTGAAACCGATTGAGTACCAACCTATACGTAAACTAAGGGTCATAGACTGTGGCACTTGTCCACTCTGGAACCGATCAAGTACTAACCTAAACGTAAACTAAGGGTCATAGACTGTGGCATTTTTCCACTCTGAAACCGATTAAGTACCAACCTATACGTAAACTAAGGGTCATAGACTGTGGCACTTTTCCACTCTGAAACCGATTGAGTACCAACCTATACGTAAACTAAGGGTCATAGACTGTGGCACTTGTCCACTCTGGAACCGATCAAGTACTAACCTAAACGTAAACTAAGGGTCATAGACTGTGGCACTTTTCCACTCTGAAACCGATTAAGTACCAACCTATACGTAAACTAAGGGTCATAGACTGTGGCACTTTTCCACTCTGAAACCGATTGAGTACCAACCGATACGTAAACTAAGGGTCATAGACTGTGGCACTTTTCCACTCTGGAACCGATCACGTACCCACCGTTACGTCATCTCTCCAACCTTCCGACCCTCGGGACGTTGCCCCCGCAGTTCATAGACGAGAGGCTGGACCTGCTGAATTCGGGGCGCGGCTTCAGCGACGAGTTCGAAGTGGAATGCAACAACTACGCAGAGAAGATGAGCACGGGCAGCGGTCAGAAACTCAAGCAGCAGTATCGAGACTGGGCGAAGACCGTGAGGAAGGAGGGTGGCGCGTTTTTCAAGAACGTCAAAGACAAGGTCAGACCGCGCGGCACCACGCGATCACATCGGCCGAATTTTCCCTAACCGCTAATATTCCCTAACCTGATTTCGTAGGCTCGTACCGCCTTACCGTATATGTTTTCCTGTATATAATACCGATATTAATGGATACTAATACGTGTAAAGAGACATGTCATAATAAAAAATCATTTCATTAAGTTTTCACGTTTTTCCGTTCGTTTCTAAAGTGTTTTCCGAAGGCGTTAACTCGTAGTAGCCGCTGAACAGGTGTTTATTCAGTCGCAAGAAATGCACATGTATGAAATTTCTGCATTTATGAATAAAATGAGACATAATTAGCAGTTTTAACTTTAATGCATGGTGCGGTTTTATTACGGGGAGAATTCAAATTTAATCTCAATCAATAATTCAATTTTCATTTTCATTAATTTCATTTGTTGATTGTGATTTAAAGTTGTTTACATATTTCATTCGTGGCTAAATGCTTTATAAAAATACACGACTAGTAGGCACGCAAGCAAATAGCTTGGTATATTACAATTCTGAAACAATGACATCTTTGCCATTAAATATATTATTAACGACCATGAAAGCTTGCTTTGATAATGCGTCTCTCTGTTATGGATATTTAACGGCTATAAATTTTTGTGGTGTCAGGAAGCAAAGTTTAAATTTAAAATAAAATATTTCTTAACACCCTTACCCGTAATGGATTGGGCGTTTTTTCATCGATTGACAATTTAACCGAAAAGCTACCGGTTTTAAAACAAAGTCCCATATCCATAGTACATGATCCATATATTGTGTATTTTTAGTAATATCTGATTGGCGTTTATTATATACATTTATATACATACATACATACATACATACATAAATACATAAATATCAATATCATCTCAGATCTTTATATACATAAATACCTGTTTTGAATCTTATACATATAATCCTTTCATTTAAAAAAGAAAAACACTTCTTTGCATTTATTGATAGCGATTGCGTTAGCCCAATATCCTCTTTTAAAGACGATGTTGCAAATCTCCATAGGCGGCGGTAATCGCTTATCATCAGGTGACCCGCATGCTCGTTTATAATAATGTGATGTAGGAAAATAAAACTGGAGCATTATTTAATATCAACATTATTTAATATCATATCGGAGCATAGATTCACTTAATATTAACTAAATGTAGTCTCCACGCTAAAAGTATCGATTTGTTATTACATTATTTCTAATACGTAACTTAAACTTAAAACTGCAATAAATTATGCATAATTATGTGCGACAATAATAATTATCGACTTATTGTTGATATCGTTTATAAATGGAAGGTGTGAAACTTACTTTTATTGACCAATTGCTAAAGTTCAATTGCAATTTTGACAATTTTGCGACCGATTCGGCAAACATTTTTAGAGTTAAAATTCATCATTTGCGACGCATAAAAGATGGGGCCAGGATACTTCCGCGTTGTCTAGGGCCGTTATTACTTCTTTGTATTTATTTTTACGTCCTATGAAAACCGCGTTATCATATAAAAGAAAACTATGCATTTAATAAAGATATGAATAAATACGAAATTCATATCAGAAAAGTTTGTATTCCATGTTTTACTTCTTCAATATTTATATTTTTGCTTTAAAACGGTTATCCTCCGTACATGGGAAAATTATTATAAAATTTTCTTAACTAAGATTTATTAAATACAAGACCATGTCTAATCAGAAGCCGCATCAGCTTACGCCAACGGTTACCTGCTTACCTGACATTATTAACTATAAAATCACTGTTCATTTAGAGGCATCTAAATCTGAGTTTGTAGAGGTATCTCGCTAGCTTAAGAATACTTGAGGCTAATTAAACTCCATGCCGCGCAACCCTCCTCGTGAATTAACATTGTTTAAGCGTATATATTAATGTTTTACGGTGCGTTCGACGCCACCGTTACTCGATGCATGCATGCTGTAAGTACTTGGGTTTTTCCTTTTGGCTTTAAACTGTCAATATTTGCAGGCGAACCCCGCGGTACAATCGGCTGTCAAAACGGTGAGTTGTCCCACGGACCATTACGTTCGATTAACAACGGAATGCTAAAGTCGAGCAACATTCACCACTCAGTGGAGCATACTTTCATGTTCATTCGCCTATAGTTTTCGTGTGACGAACTCACCTCGAGCTGGTCTGCGCTATTTCACGAGTGTTCGTTTTTCTTCTCCGCATGTATGAAGCACGGAAGTCATAGATGAATTTTAGTCCACTGCATACTTATATTAATATTTTGTACAATTTCAAAAAAAAATTATTTGATGCAGACGGTTCTGCATTCTAATAATGCACTATGTGGGAATCGAATCTATTCTGGAATTTGAAATGTAGGAAATGAGAGAATAAGCTTTTAATAATGAGCACTGACATTCATTGTATTTAATATAATAAAGGCATTGCATCAGACAACATCTCTATGTCGAATAAGTGCGAACGTCCATACCGTTGTTTATCTCAGTGTGTCGACTACGATTCGGTTACTTTTTGGATAATTGAATAGGCGCTCACCAAAAAACGAGACACATTCAAAATAGATTGATTTTGAAGCTGAAAATTGTATGTCATAGTAAAATTATTTTTGTCATAAACATCCCCTCCGGGCAGTCATTTCGAGGAGTTACATTGTTAGTTTTGTTTTCGCAAATTTAAAAATAAAAAAAATATTGTCCATACAAACAGCATGTAATTTTGCTTTAACATGGTAGTACGCTGTAGTAGGTATAAAGCTGTTACCAAGTTCGAGTTCTATTTTTTTAGACACTAAACCCCAATGCAACACGGAGAGACAAATAGTTACAAAGGCAAAGTATGTTTACTCCACAAAGTAGTGAATGTCTGCGAATCGTACCAAAATTATCTTTATCGAATCTGCACAGGGTTTCTTTGCTTCATTCTTACTTTCCAAATGGGTATTGCATGCATGCAATCGCATACTGTAACATTCTTCTGTGATTTGCAAAGTGCAAGGCAGCCAGAAATGCCTACATTTCTTAATCACCTTAACGACTTCGGTTTGCTGAAAAATTTCTAATTTTAAAACGAAAATCTTAAAAATTATAAGCTTTTCGGCAAATAAATGAGGGCTTTGCTTTCGTCTTTTCTCATTTAACCTACTTACTTTTAATAAATAACAATTTATTTGTATAAACATATTTAAATGTTAATAAAATGACATCTGTTCTGGTTTTTCCCTCGGGAATATTTTTATTACTTTAAAATTGACTTTAAGTGTTGAATGAAAAAATTCTTTTTTCTTGTTCAGTTTTTTAATAACTGCTTAAAATTGGATATTAAAATTATGTTATAAAATTTGGACTAGTTTATATACGGCGACAAAATTAATTGATCTTATCGTTTTCAAATTGTCAATATTACTAGTTTATTATGTCATAGGTACTAGTTTATTTGCTTGTGAAGTGTTTTTGAGTAATAGTACTGTTTATATTTGTAAATTGAATATAATATAATCTTTTGAAAAATAGAACTCATACATAAATCTATTCTATTCCCTCCATAATGACATTCCCGAACGCATTAGAAAAAAAAAATGAAGGATAAAGTTACTTTCTAGTAATGTAGGTACTTTATTTGTTTCTTGTCATCAAGGTCCGACAAGGTGGTAAAAATATGAAATCGGCCGTGAGGGGGCTGAAAAACAAAATGCCGAAGTCGGGCTCCAGACCTTCTTCAGTGAACACTACAGACGACAGCAGGTGTGTATTTAACGTGCCGTTTTATAATACATCGATTCCAATTATCGTCGTCTTAATTATATTGTGCGCTAAGTGACGAGCGGTGTGAGCTTATTTCGTTTACCAGTAAAAGTTTCAATGTCTCTCCAAAGCGGAGCATGGAAACTGTAGCAATTTGATATGTTTGAAAATGTACACCGATTGATTTGTTTAGATTTTGTTTTTACTAGTGTAGCGATGCACGTGATATCGAGCGATCTGTCGTCATCGCGACGTCTCCCCACAGATTGCATATGGACATTTTTGTTACTAGGTTCTCATGTGGGTCGGCGACGCCCGTCTCGTCAGATTCCTCTGACTCGTCGCCAGCCCACGACGCGCCTCCAAGGGAGCCTCCCCCCGCCCTCCCCCTAGATCTGTTAACGGAAATGGAGTTCCTATTCTCGAATAACTCCCAACGGCGCGATAGTTACCCCAATAGCACGCACAACACTATAAGTCTGCCCGACAAATCCGTAAGTGACAATCGACCGTAACTCATTGGCATAGGCACCATTTTACTTTGTTCGTTAGCCGCTAGCTGTATACGTTGTCTTGCTTGTTAGTGTCTCACTTGGCTAAGTTTTGACACGTTCATCGCATGTGTTCGATTTCCACTTGTATTATATCAATTATTAGATCGCATGAAATCATGTTCATCCGAAAATGTGTCAAAACTTATAGATATATGTATGTTTACAAGCTCGCCTCGGGACTCGGCGTCGGAACAGAAAATTCGTGAGTGGAACACAATCTCGTTGCCATACATTGCCCTATATAAAGAATTAACTCTAGCCAAAGCGGCGCGGTTCCGACGCGATGTCCAGGCGACGCTACTATCTTTGTACGTTTCGCGCGTGTCTCGTGAGAGCTTTACCGTACTCCGCACCCGTACTTAGCCCGTAGAAAGGCACTAGTGTATGTATGTACACGCGGACGTTCCGCCCGCAAGCGCACGGAGCCCGGGGGGCGCCGTGGCTACGCATCCATGACACGTTGTTTTGCAGAGGACACTGTCGCCAGCGCCCCCCCGGCTACCGGAACGCCCCCAAATCCCCCTCCGCTACCCGATAATATCGACGCGCCGCCTGGTCGACGTGTCGGACGCGCCGGCGCCTCCGCCCCGCGCCGCGCCCGCCCCCTCGGCCGCCCAGTTCGTCAGCAACGTGACGAGGAGCGACGCCCGCGCGGCCGACTTCCACACTAGCGCGATCCGCTTCGCCGGCGGCAAGGACAAGGGCAAGCTGGAGCTGACCATGTCCACGAACCAGCGGAGGGCGTGCAACGGGAGCGCCCCAAAGCTCCCGCCCCCCCTCAGCGCCAGGCACGAGCCCCAGCGCCCCCTCGCGGCCGCCCCGCCCAAGAGGAGTCACGAGGTAATTGTGTTATGCGCATTCGTCGTCGTGACGCTCCTCTATCTCGCGCTCAGAGACGGCGCCGCGTGCGGTCTATGAGCGGCCCGCGAACCCGCCCGCCGAGCGTGCACTAACACGGCGGTGTTGACAGAATAGTATTCGATAACGCGACGACTTTGTGTTTTTAGATAATATGAATATTGTAAAAAAAATGTAAGTGAATATACACTTTGCAACTTTTGCTTTTATTCCCTTTGGTGCATCCTCCACTGTCCTAGCGATTGATGCATGGATTACGTTACTTCACACACGCTTTTAATACCCACTACTCTGTGACTGTTCAGTCGCTTCTGATACTCTACCTTGAGTGACCTTTTTTCAATAACTTTAATGGAATGTGTAATAATTTTAAATTATACACGATATAAGTGAAATGTTTTAATTGAACAATTGAATAGTTTTAGAGGGATATTTTATAGTGTCAAAAATATTTTATATTATTTTTTTATGGTCATTTTACAGGAAAAACTCGTAAGTAGATTGCAACACGAACGTCCTGTCATATTACGGGGCGTACAAAACGACGATCAATAATTATAGTTTTTACTTTGTTCTAAAATGTGCACATAAAACCTTATAAAATACAATGCTGTGTATATATTGCAAAACATCTACTTCACTGGTTCTTCTATTTAAAACCAATATTGTATTGAAATTATGCTTATTAAAAAGCGGTTCCTGTTTTAAATACACGAATTCATCTGCATGTCTAGAAAAAATGTGTTACGAACATAATTTAGTAATCCCAAATAGGTCTTATTTCATGTGTTGGTTTCATTGTCGTTATAGGTTAATCCAATTTTTATTATAGATTCAGTATGCCGAATTTACATTTAAATTTTCACAATTACTACTGTTATGGTCGATTCATGAAAACGAGTTAGTAAAGTGCTTTCTATCACAAAACCAAGAATTCGTCAACAAAAATATTATAAGAAAAATTTATAAGAAAATAAAGATGCGTTCACAAAACACACAAAGCAAACATTTTAATGTCTTTTATTATTTATACTTTATATTCTTATGTAACTGAGGCTATTTGAATACGAAAAAATGTCGTCTCGATGACTTTTATTAAATTTTAAACCAGAAGTTCTTCCAGAAATGGCCGCTATAATAATTATAAATGCAGTTTTGAAGTTATGTTTCTTTTGACACGTTTGGATAAAAATATAAGAGTTATTTCTTTTTCTTTTTTTGTCTTTTGTTACGCTAAAAGAAGTATTGTGTATTACGTGCGTACATAAGTACACACACACACACACACACACACACTTTATTTATTAATATAATTATTCTACACTAATAACTTATTATTAATTATTTACTAGGTATGAAAACTAAAAGGAGCTTCTTTGAAGTGACTCTTACTTTACTTTTAAATGAGGCATAACTGCGTGAAAGACACAGGTCTTTATTTTTTTTCTGTTGACTTCATTATGAGCATTACTCATAAAATAAAAGCAACTAATAAGTGATTTATATTTTAAGCGCACATTTTCCAAATCCTTTTACTGAGTGCAAACTTAACATTACTACTCAAAAATTTATAATTATTTTCTAATTGTACGTAATAAACTCAGTGTAATGTTTCCGTAGGTCGATGTTTTGTACCGTCCGAAACGCTTAGCAGGATCCGATGATTATTCACGTAGTTAATAGAACATTATTTATCGCGAATAAAGTAAATGTAGAAAAAAGTAACCGTACCTGAGAGCTTCGGGGGGTTAACTTCGAATGAGATTTCTTCGAAATATTTATAGAATTTGTTTGATCGCCTGATACTAACAACGGATTCGACGTCAAACAAAATTGAAAAAGAGATTATAATAAATTGGTTGAATGATTGGGTTTTGTAATTACGTTATAAGAACCGATTAAACATAACATTTTTATTAACAATGAACAAAATTGACTATAAATATCTCACTCGCTGCACGTTTCCTATTCGATTGAGTTCCTTGGTTTATCTTTAAAAGCAATGAATTTATAATGAGACCGTTTTGAACACATCTCGTGTTCAACGTTATAACAATAATTTTTCAAATCGGTTTTCTAAACGACAGAGTTCTGAATTAACGACATACAATTAGGACTAGGTCCGTCTGTAACCCGATTTCGGCCCTGGTATAATATTCTCGACCTTTATATGCCGAGGACATGACCTGACCCGAGGAAGACTCGAACCGAGACAGAGATGTAGGTCGGACTTTACTAAATGGGGCCGAGTAGGAAGACACGCTGAGTGTGCCGCGGGCCTTAACTGGAGGAGAGGGGAGGTACTCCCAGAGAAGAGACTGCTAAGGCGGCCTGCGCTGGCGGGGAGTGTGCGAAGCGCCCCGTGGCCCTGACCGTGGATTGATTCCTCCTGCCCCTTACCATCAACGGACAACTAGGCGTTCGGCGAGGCTCCAACCTAATGCTGTCGACGTTCCCAGAAGAAGAACAAAGCGATTTGCTTCGTCATTTAACATCCGTACAGCTAAGGAATGGAACAACCTGCAGGCGTCCATGTTTCCGTCCTATTACAACGTAGGCATCTTCAAGGCAATAGTGAATAGGTTTTTACTGACCTAGCGCGCTTCTACCATCAAAGGCTGCATCGCCACTTACCATCAGGTGGGATGGCAGTCAAGTGCTGGCTAGATCTAAATTAAAAAAAAAATTGTCCCCGAAAGGGTGGGTATGCGTAGGCATTTCCCCCATGTTAACAAAAAAAAAAGGTCGGACCTTATTGACAACCTCCTTGAGAAGTCTGTCGAAAAGATCAAAGAATGAAGTATCGTATAAGAAAGAAGTATATCGTATATCGTATATCGTATCGTATAAGTACAAAAAAGACTGAACGAAAAGTTGCGAAGCTGCAATCAGAGATGATCTGAAATAATATATATAATAGATTATCCTGAGCAGCCAATAGCCAATTGACGTCACCGCATACTTCTAAAAAAGATGTTAAATGAGATTGCTATAAATAAACATAGCTGAATGAGAAATTCCACTGTACGTTTCGTGGAATAGAAATCCACGTTGGAACATAACCAAAGATTTGGTGGGTTTTTAAAACATTCGGTATTATTTTGAAACGCCTAATAATCGTTGCGGTCGATCGTTCTTCTGTTATACATGAGCTTGAAACTAAAAAGTGTTATGTGCATATTGAAAATTCAGTCACAGCGGAAGTGGCAATGGGCAATATAGCTAGTAACCGAAAATTGATGGGGAAGAAAGGTTCACGAGTGGCAGCCGAGTGTTGGCCATCGCAGTGACGTGACCGCAGCAAATGTGCGGAAAATCGATGCGTGTGATATAGGATCGTGCTTCGTGGCAGTCAATAGATGGCTAAGTTCACCCGTGAGCTGAAATGATGTTGATGATGAAAACAACTAGGGTGTTACACTTGTATAATTATTTTTAAATAAATTAATCGGGTGCTTATTGAACAAAAAATATTTATGTTAACAATATTCAGTACAAAATTACATGCTATCGAACAAATCTACGTGACATAGTTCTAATTCTTTTCTTTTATATATATTTTTTTGTATACAGCCAGATTTTCTTCGTCTCGATACTTGCATAGTTTTTGTACTTAGTCAAGACAATAAAGCAATAATGAGCTCATGAGCCTTTATTTACATTCCTCTGTTTGTTGACGGTGACGAATTATTTAATTTAGTCATCCCGGTAATTGCATCGTTTACGTTCTATAAGCTTACGTACCAGTATGCAATACGTACTTGGTCACCGGAACGTTAGTCTCATAGTCAAAAGTATTATGAGTGGTAATATAATAAAATGTTATTACACCCCATTACAATCATTAATTTAACTAATTATTTCTAAAGATTTACATTCACTTTCGCTATAATTATGACAATTTTCCGCTACGAATAATAACGGTTTATGTTTTTTAATTACATATATCCATTAGGCTATTGCATTACATTTATTGCATCATTATAAATTTATGTTTACATTTTTTACTTAAGTACTAGTACACAATTTGTCTCTACCACTTCCACATAGAATCTCGGGACCCTCACTGTATAACTTTGAAATCATAGTTGTCGCCTACTATTACTTTAACGAATGGGTATATGCTCTGAGATCTCAAATTATTAATAATAATTATAAACCGAGGCTTACACTACAACAATGTAAAACAAAATGTTATAAATTAATCTCCAAACTTTGAACATTTTGGAGATTAATTTATCTAGACACTAACAAAGAAGTTTTTATTAATTGATATGATTTTCAGCACCGCTCGACGCTGCTCAGGTTACACAGCACATTATTGTAGAATTACTGTTATGTGATGGCACTGGATATTTTAATATGGATACATATCGAAAATCTTGAACAATATTAAATAAAACTAAACCTTTGATGATGCTTTGGTTGAAATTGCAACGCACAATGTCATCACGGATAGCAAAACGTATCACATACATATTAAAATAAACACGATACGTCGCTTACACACGTTTCTAGTGCGCGGTGTCGTCGTCACTACTACTGGCTGCAGAAGAGATAATAATTATAGTTTGAGTAATTCTGCGCCTGCCTCGACAATTGACTCACATTTATTTTTCTTTGAAATAACCTAGCGTACGTATACGAGTAGTATGTCATCGCCATTTATTGTGGCCTTACAAGTAGAGATTTCCCTTTTCTATCGATTTCCTAGGACTACGATTACCCACACACATGCAGATGTATTTGTTGAATTTAACAGACTGTGCATCATTTCTTTTTTTCATAGATTTTGCACTTTTACCGTTACAACTAGTGATTTAGACGTATCGCACATAATATAGCTTAAGAGAATGGCACGGACATTAGTGTTAAATTGATCGTCAATGTGGTGATTATTTTGTGAAGTTTCGCTTCTTTGTTAATCGCATCTGCATGCCTGTGCAACTATGGAGGGTCTTGGTTTGGGCTTAGAGCGTCCAGTTTCATAGTGACCCGAATTGTTGTAATGTGATTGTATGCATGCTGTATAATGGGGGGCGGGGCAATTAACTTTAGAATCATATAGTTACGCATGTAATGTTTATGGTGTTATTGAACACTGTGTTCTTTGGAAATAAACACAATTTTAAATATTGTTGTATTTAAAAAGTATTTGAGACTGTTTTTTTGTCAGAATATTTCTTCTTAAATAAAACTTGAAGAATACGACGACTAGAATCGAAATAAAATTTTAACAACTCCTCAAGCGCACGAAATGAAATCAACAAGTATAAGGTAATCTATATTTAAAGTCCAATATTCATTCAATCTTTATTGATCTAATATTTACAAGATTAAATCTAAAATTACATATTATCTAATAAACCTAAACCACGCGGCATGCTGCCAAGAACACTAGTTGCATTTCCTGGCTGAATAGTTATGCTTAACCTTTGAGCGAGAAAAGAACCAGTTCTCTTGTCACCAGCCGCGACGTTAAGCCTAGGACATAAACTTAAAAAAAAATTGATGTGCGGGGACCCCACGGATTCAATTAAATAATTGAAGCCAGCAATCGCCATTTTACATTCAGGATGATTCACATGAACAATTTTTTTGCAAATCCCTTTAAACGGAGTTGAGAATACCTATGAATGTTATATAAAACAGAGACCTTTTTGCATCGCAACGAGCAGTATCTGTGTGCGAAATTCCAACTGCGCAGTTAAGTAACCCAAAAGTCATATAGCGGTATTAATAACTGCCCAAATTTCCAAGTCAATGTTCCTCAACTGCGGTCTCTCGCAGCACGTGCAGTGTCGCTGTGTTTAACTCACGTGTTTCTTTTCCAGCCGCGTGGCTCGGTATCGGATCTGATTAAACTGGACGATACGCCGACAGAGCTCGAGATTTTCGATCCGCTAATGTGCCGCGACAAAGTCGACAGCGTCGATCAGATCAAAACGTCCACGGACAGTGCACTTTTGCACGAGTATGGATTAGATTTCAGCCAATTCGGGCTGTCGGAGTTTACCAGTAGCTCCAGTGCTATACCCGAGGCGGCCCCCGGCGTGCCCAAGGGCTGGACCACATTCAATTAGTGAGCACGCCCTATCGAGCGGCGGCAACGTTAACTCTGTATATTTGGCACCACACATTGCGAGGTTTATTTATTTCGATGTATTTCGTACGTTCCTCGTTATATCTCCAGCTGTACATAATGTTACATATCAATGGATTGTAAATTATTTTTGTCATCCAATCGATTATTATGCCTACATATTAGACGTTTTAATGTTTTTATTGTATAACTTATGATGAGTATGTGTATCGCAACGTGTAAATATGAGATTATCGTATTCGTGCGGTACATTCGTATTGTTTGTTTTTTTTATTCATTTGTTGTATTTGTACTTCTGTTTGTTGACCGAAACTCGGAGACATTGTGATAATCCTTATGTATGCTCCAGATTACGGAATGTTATGCGGTCAACATTTCCGAAGTGTGTATTTAGTAATATTTAAATATTCTCTCGGCGTTAACAGTACATTGGGCTTGCAAAAATTCTACAATTATTGTCTTCTACAATGTACATTTCCAACTGTATGAATATTTGTTTTGCCTTTACTATCCCGCCGCGTACGACGAAAATTTCGGCATTTTTTTTTCGGAACAATGCAGCACGTTTATTTTTGTATAACTTTTGCGACAATCTATTGAAATACTGTTCCGCATTTACGTAGCACGTGATGCGGATGTAAAGGCAATTTTATTCCCTTTTAATTAAAGCCATCGGGTTATTGCGTCACGATACTGCTTCGAACCGGCAAAATCGAAGTAATAGAAGCTCCAATTGAAGCGTAAAGTAATATAATTGAATTGATATTACGATATACTCATAATTTTATTGTACTTTTAAGTTCATGTGCAAGAAACGTGTGTGGTAAAAGTTGAGTGACAGTGTGAATTTATTTGTCGTGTATAAAAATCTGTATTTATTAGTTCTTACATCGATATTGAAATAAAAATCATTTGTTTATCGTTAACATTGATGATGTGTGTTAAATGCAATATATACACAGCAGACAATAATCTTAACGATTGAAAAATAATCTTTTTGTTTCTATTTCACACAAAACGTAATTTGTACTTGAGGTCAATACGAACGGTGTTGCATTCTTCGTTCTCCTTTAGTTCTCAAATTTTATTAAGTTCTATGCTCTGTACCATTGATTTTGTTTTAGATTCTTTTTGTGTCCATTGTTATAGAAACCCTTCTTTCGTATCGATATGATCGTTGTTTTTTATGTTTATCTCCAATTTATCACGCTAAACTATTTACGTGACAATTGTGACATTGACCGCAACAGTTTCAGATCTGATAATTCATCAGTGAACAATTGAATTTGATACATCCTTACGCTAGAAATGTAAACGTAACACGTATAGTATTAGGCGAAAAATTTGTCGACCGAAATATGTGCGACAGAGAAAACGCTCTACTGAGCCGAAGTTGTCTCTTTCGATGATACATAAACGATTGCATCTTTCCAAAGGTCGATGAGCAATATTAATTGTAGAGAATTGTGCAAAACGAGCCACGTTCACAAGATCTTTTTTTTTCATATTATTGCATTACTATTGCCACGTAATTCCTATATTATTGCTTGCAATCGTTTATTATAGGGGACGAAGCAGTATCGACGTGATCATTAAAATAACAAGTATTTTCAATGCGTACACAGTACAAACAAATGCCCATTCCTTATTAAATACGAAAGATGGCAGCACACATGACTCACTTATTTGAGCTGAAGCAACTCCAATCATGAAATGAAAGTACAATTAGCTTTTACTACGATTTCATATACATTTCAAGTGTATGTAACACAACGGTTTCGATGACGTAACGAAATACTTTTGCAAGTTGACGTTGGGAGGTGGCGCTTCCTTGACTTGATGTAAATTGCCTCGTGAAATCTCACGCCGGGATGAAAAGGGGATTTTATTTTACATGATATATGACAACACACAACGTGTTAATGCCGCCACCTTACTGTGTGGCTTGAGACGAACAGCAGTGCTACGTTCACATTTGAACACGATGGGCCACATCCGCGTCCATCATCCAACGTCGGTGAATCCCTTAAACAATGCTGCTAATTGTTAACTTCATAAATTTCGAAAACGAAAATGGCTAAAATATTTTTAAACTATTCACTAGCGCGTTATTTAGAATTCGTGAATTCTCGCATTTTCGCCTTAACATTGCTCTGTTCGCCTTAATTCATGTACGCAATATTAATTTTTAATAGTATTTGCTCTCCTGTTATCACTCTAGTTTCGGTATCCTATAATTATTGTTATTGATACCTGAAAATATTTAGTAGGACGTAATAGTAGAGATTATTTTACTAACGTAGTGAGGAGATATTAGAAACGATAAGGTCATCCACATCTAGCTTGCCTTTAATAAGAGAGTCTATAAAGAGAGAAAATTTATTTAAAATCAATTGCTATTTTGTAATTCGTGTTTTTTCAAAGTACAAAACTACATCTTGTAGTAAACCTTGATACTATTGTCAAAGCATGGCCACGTATGAATTTGTAAAATTGCGGCCCTGTCAACATTACCTACGTACGTTTATAATCAATTATATATGAATATTAACGTATTACATTTTATATTTGATTCGTTATTTTCTAAGGCTGTGTCTTTGTGATATTTCATGATTTTGCTATTGTCATCGCTGATAGAGGGACTTAGTGCTGTATGAAAGAGAATAATAGGTTAGGTGGATATCCCCAAAATTAATATTTATTTTATTAAATATATACGGTATAATTGTGAAATATTCCAATCGCGCCAATTTCGCCAAATGTAAGGATTTCTATTTATTACTTCTCGGGAAGGTAATGTTGACATAAAATTTTTTTCATTAAATATGGCGCTAAGTAAGATAACTGGATTTTTTACGAGAGCCGTTTCACTATTTATATGAAATGTGGACATGCTTTACGATTTGTAATGATAGACTGATTAAAGGCCTGATTTGTTGTAAATTATGTATGTATTCGTTGACCTATATGTAGATATTTCTTGTAAGAGATTGCCTGCATAATTATGTATATTTAGCTAGAGTGTTGTGAGATGTGAAATGTTATAATTATACATGTTAAACAATGCCATTTTTTTGGTTTGCACAAAATCTGCGTTAAAGTTCAGCAACAAATTTCAATATCGACGATGGTCATCGCATCGTACAACTTTAGCACTCTCACTAATCAAAATGAGGTACTCTTCCTTTTTTGTAAACCTCTATTGTTATCATTTGTTAAAGATTTTTTTATTTCGTACGTAATATTAGAAATCATTTGTAGAAAAATGTCCTCTATAACATTATTTACTTATTTTGTTGTCTTTCGTTTCCTACGGTTGGTTAAAGTGCTTTTTACATCTGTACGTTTTAATTGTTTCAACCGTTCGTAAAACTTTTAAAATAATAGTTGAGTAGTTAACTAATGTATATCAATAATGCAACGAAAATATGTATAAATTATATTATGTTTTATGACAACTTTAATTTGTAAATTTGCTCTTACGTTTGTTTATAATGATATAACATTAAGTATATTTATGTAAATAGTATTAGGTCACGATTATCGGCCATCGAACTAATTGTGCTGAAATTATTTTAAACTGAACTCTTATTAAATTTTGTACTATGGAACGTTTTGACAATTTAACGAGATTTTTCTCACATTAATTGTTCATGGTATTCTTTGATAATTTGTTTCATATACTACTTCTTCTTCTTCAGCGTGTGTTCGCCCACCGTTGGGCATACGCCTCTCCAATTTTATTCCATTTGGCACGACTCTTTGTTTCCCTTGTCCAGACTGGGCCTGCTGTCTCCTTTATGTCATCGGACCACCGGGCTGGTGGTCTGCCCACACTTCTCCTGCCTAGCCGGGGTCTCCACTCCAGAACGCGCTTGCTCCAACGTTCCTCTTTTCTTCGGCACATGTGTCCGGCCCAAGCCCACTTTAACTTCGCTACTCGGTGGCCCACGTCGACCACTTTCGTGCGATGTCTGATGAGCTCGTTCCGGACTTGGTCCTGTAACGTTATGCCGAGCATGGCTCGCTCCATGTTGCGCTGCGTCACCTTGAGCTTGTGGATCAACCCAGCAGTCAGTGTCCATGTCTCGCATCCATATGTCATATACTACAGAACATTCTTATTATTATTATTTGATACATTATATAATTTGATATATGTTTACTGTAAGTGCTTCAATATTTTCCATCGATTTTTCCGCATATTATTACGAAGCCAAATCGAGTCTAAACGTTCCATTATTTACAATATTGTTGCTTAAATATATTGCAAATTCTCAGATTACATTGTTTACATATTGAAAAAAGAACTATCTAAATTAATTTAATCGTGATCTAATCGACATTTATTGATAACTGTAGTAGTTTATTAAATAAAGGAAATTATTCCAATCAAAGTCGCAACGCAGTACCTACGCAAAGTACATATTGTTCGAAGTTAAATATAAAAATAACTATGTGATTTATAATTTTTGTTATCCCATGCTTAGTGATCAATTAAAACTTGTACTGAAGCACAGTTTTGTTTGATTAACAAATTGATTAATGGATTCGTGATAAGCTGCCGTATCTGTTAAGATAGCAAAAAGCGGCGAATTAATATCAAACCCCTCTTTAATGTAACTTATTTTGAAGTTACCGCGCTCTCGATTACCTGTAGCCAGACATGTACACAACCTAGTTTTAGAATTATTTTTTTATGAAATCGAAATTCGAACTTGAAATTGGAACCGAGCATACAATGTCCAATTAACAAATCTCTTACATCACGAGATTACATTAAAAACATAAAGCAGTGTAACAAATTTTTTTCTATAAAATTATCTCACTACAAAACGGTATATGAATTGAAATTGAACTGGAACACTGAAACGATAAAATAAACCATACACGAGGTTGGGTGCATGGAATGGAGGTTAAAAAAATTTACTCCTTTTAGTATTTCTACCCTGAAAAATGTTTTTTATCGCAAAAATA